ATACGAGTCAGTCACCAGAGTTTTGGCCAGGTCCGAGACCGCCGCATTTTTCACATGCTGCTTTGACTTTGAGTCTCGCTGATCCGTTGGCCAGGTGAAGTCCTCGAGAGCCCTGCTTCGAGCATCCAAGGGTGCAAAGTCCGACATTGCCCCAAGCGCAGGCGCAGACAGAACACTCAGAACACACGTCTCACTCACTGATCGCTGTCGCTTTCTCACTCAAAGCCAAAACGTGCATTCAAGGCGAGCAGCAAGAAAACAACCAATATGATTCTAATCTGCATCGTGTTACAGTACATAAGTTGCATAGTACATCCTGCACGCAGCACTACAATCACAACAGAACTGCTTGAACCGTCATGCGCCCTGACTCCACTAGCAATCACTACCATTGAAAGCAACGCGGCAATGAAGGGCAGAAGCAGAAATTCAGTCCTGTCCATGGCCCAGCAAAGAAGTTCGTGAAGCGCTGAAAAGCTTCCCGCAAAGTACCTGCACGGACAGGATCTGACTCATCGAAACTCATGCACATCTGAATCAAGTCTCGTGCTTGTAGTTGACCTTCACACCACTCGTCCAGCAATGCAGGCGGTGTTTCAGGGAGAATCTGAAATTTCTCTCTCTCGTCGAAGTAATCCCGAACCCTGTCATGCAAGGCCTTCAACAAGTTCCCTTTGTTCAGCACCTTTGAGATGGAAAAATTGCCTCCCAAGTTTCCAAGTAACTTAGTAAGCTGTTCGATGATATTCCCAACTCTATGCTGCAAGCAAAGCGTTGGCAGGAAGAGATGATTCTGGCCCAGCTCCTGATCTACCATCTTCAACATTCGCACATTTGCAGCATGGGCATCTGAAGTTGTCAGGGTGGCAACATATTTCACGTTGCCCTCGAGGACCTGTGCAAATCCAGCTGGGCCAGCGGAGAGAGCTGCGTGCATTGTGGCACTATTCATTACGGGACTCAGAATGGCCGGGCATCTGGCAATATGTTCGTCATGTATGATAGTGTCTCCCACAAAACGGTATGTGACTTGCGCGTGCGAGCACAGTACCGAGTACGAAGCTGAAACAGCATTGCCAAGGCTGAGGTGGAATGTAGACTCATCGAACATCATGTTGCGTATTGCATATAGCAACTTGGCTGACTTCACCTCTTGGCTGATGCACTCCTTTAGTCTTTTCAAACCATGTCCTTGCCCATTCATGACTGCCTCAGCCACAACGAGGCGACAAGAAGCCGCGTGAGATTGTCCCGCACCTTCGATGGAACTCGCAACCTGTCGCTGGGTGCTCTTCTCAAAACTGAAACCAGCTCTAAGAATGGCAGCAGGTGACCAAGTTTTCCATGCCCCTCGACCAGTGAAGCTCGGTCTTTGCAACCCCGCTTCGTGCAAAGGGAAAAAATAGTCTTCATTTTTGGAGCGGCCACTTGCATTGTAGCTTCGCGCTTGCTGATCTAGCAATGCTTCTTTTTTGCCAAGCTTGCGCGCTTTCTTCTGCGATCCTTCTGCAGGAGTTAGTCCAGGTCGGAGACCGGATTTCTTCCCAGGTCCGAGACCGCGCGCACTGGCTGAAGCTGCTACATCTACTTCAGCTTCCTGCAAAACACCAAGAATGTCGTCCACATCCAGCAATCCATCCATGTTCGCTCGATCTAACCGAGGCACAGCACACTAAAGTTTCTTCAAACTCTCTGTTGGAAATGTGATCAAATGAAACCGAAATGTCATCTAGTTGGTTGATAGGCTACAACGGATTGAACAATTCTGAGTAATTCTCCTTGCATTGTCTAGTCTACTCGAAGGGAGCCTTACAGCTTCATAACATCACAACAGATAGGGCAACAGGCTCAGTTCTGATGCAATGGTTTCAAGGATTTGTTGGCCGTCCTCCCCCCCCCCCCCCACCCGTCTGATGAGTCTCTCTAGGGTTGGGCACTCCAGGGAGTTTCTGGGGTTGGGCTCTGCAAATTCTTTTACTCTATTTTGCAGGCCAAACTATTTCTTCTGAAAATGTTTAGGTGTTCTTTTATTTTTCATGTTTTTTGTCTTTTTTCTTTTTCCTGGAATGACAGGATTTCATTGAAATATCGGCCACAGGCCTTCTTGAAATCACTCAACCTTAAAATCTATAATCTTATGCCATAATTCGATTTCAAAATTCCTTATTAAAATCCCTCCTTCAATTCCCTTTACATAAATCATCTAATAAAATTTCATCGAAATTATAAGAAAATATTATAAATTTACCTTATATCCAACGGCAAAAATCCCATATTTCCCCCAAAAATTCAAGAAATCTCACAATCATCAACAATTCCTCAATAACCATACAATAATCCCTCAACAACCTCTCAATAATATTGCCTGCATCAAAAATCCCTTCCTCCAAGATTTCTTCCCTTCAATAATATCTCCCTTCAATCATTCTTCCCCAAATCCTAAATAATTCCTAATCAAATCCTCCTCAGCCTCTCAATCCTAATCCCTCAAATCCCAATCCTTCAATCACAACCCCAAATCCAAGCCCTCGGCCCCCTCAATCCTCCAACCCCAACCCCTCCCATCCCAAAACCACTCATCCCCCATCAGATCCAACAAAACCCAAACCAATACAACAAAAGCAAAAAACAAATTACGATCCCGAATATAAGAAATTATCATATTCATCGCAAAATATGATATATTATAAACCACGGACCACCACCACGAGACCACCGCCACGAGACCACCACCACAAGACCACCACCACGAGACCACCACCACAAGACCACCACCACGAGACCACCACCACGACCACCAACACAACCACCCGCACGGACCCCCGCCACGGACCACCACCACGGACCAACCGCCACGGACCACCGCCGCTGACCACCACCACGGGACCACCACCACGGGACCACCACCACGGGACCACCACCACGAGACAACCACCACGGGACCACCACCGCGGAACCACCACCAGGAGACCACCACCGCGGACCACCGCCACGGACCACCGCCACCCGGCCACCACCACGGGACCACCACCACGGCCACCAGGGACCACCACCACCACGGACACCGCCACCACCACGACAGACCACCACTACCAAAGGAGCACCACCACCACGGGACCACCACCACGCTGTGGGACCACCACGACGAACACCACGGGACCACGGACCACGACCACGGGACCACCACCACGGGCATTCGGGAAAACCCCCCAAAACCCCAGCCTTTCAGCCCCAACCCCTCAGCACCCCAAAACCACCCACCCCCCACCACACCCGACAGAACCCAAACCATTACAGCAAAAGCAAAAAACAAAACCCCCCCAAAATACGACAAAACTCCGGACACAAACCCTACACAATTTCTATTAAACCCCAAAACCCTACACCGTAAAGCGTAAAACCCTGAACCCGGGGGATCCCGAAAATTCCCGGAATATTAAATTCCTAGGATTTTTCGAGAGCTGTTGCTGATATGTGATCGTGAGGCCGAACCCCCTTGAACAACTGGCGGGCGGCGACCGTCATCGGAACTACTCTGGACCAAGAGATTTCCTTGAAGATTTCCTTGAAGGTGAAGGGGCACCCACGTCATCCCTGTTGCGTTGGAACCTCAAAATCCAACCCGGCAAGCCCAAACCTCAATCCGGACAATTCCTAAAATTCCGGAATTTTCAGCTCCGGGTGATTCCCAAAATTCCCAGGATTTTTAGACAAAAAGTGTTAAAATTCCAGGAATTTTCAGGATCCCCCTGCAAGGCCCTCACAAGCAGCCAAATGGACCGGAAGAGGAGGCGGGGCATCCGACAGGGCGGCCGCAGAGCGAAAATAGGGGTCGAGCCCGTAGCCTTTTATGGGGATATCCCCCTGCAAGGCCCTCACAAGCAGCCAAATGGACCGGAAGAGGAGGCGGGGCATCCGACAGGGCGGCCGCAGAGCGAAAATAGGGGTCGAGCCCGTAGCCTTTTATGGGGATATTTCCTTCAAATATACTCTTCAGATAGATAGATCCACCTTCTACGAACTTCTCCCATATCAATTGGTGGATAGATTATCGTGCGGAATCGGTGCGATATTACATGCCACCCGTGAGCGATTGAGCGAATAATTACAAATTAGATATTATCCTATTATAAATTGACGTCAATACGATATTGCCCGAATAATTCCTTCAAGATATGGTTGAGCACTCTGAGGCCTCAATGCAAATCGCAGAGTATTGGTATGGCGAGCCGACACGATTGGCCTATCATGGAGAATTGGTAAGAGACGAGAGGGATCAAGAGGAAATAGAAGCCTCTTCCACCCAGATAATTCGATCAGATATATCAATAGTATTGTCCTATGATAGAATTTTTCTATTTGAGCCGTTGCCGTATGCTGACTCAGCCAACTCAATCAAATCTTGGTTCATTCAATGATAGATCCAAACAAATGAATTCTCTGTCTGTTGGCGGGAGAAGCAGCAAATGCTCTATCTGTGGCCAGAATTTGCTGCACACTCCTCAGCTGACCTTGGACAGCAGAGCTATCACCACCAGAATGTGGATCACCCCATGTCACCACGGAGCCATCTTCCAAGATCGCAGCACATGCTCCTGTTTCTACTGCATGAAACTGCTGCAAATTCTGCAGCTGATCCTGCACTGCAGTGCTGTCACCACAGGAGGCTGGATCCCCCCATATCAACACAGAGCCATCCTCCAGGATCGCAGCAAGTACATCGCCTGAGGCGTGAACCTGCTTTGCACCCGTCAGTCGATCTTGACCTGCAGGGCGGCCGGCATCATCAAGAAAGGGACGGCTCCAGATCACCAGGGAGCCATCTTCCCGGATCGCCGCAAATGCAGAATATGTGGCATGAATCTGCTGGACGGTCTTCAGCTGATCTTGCACTGCGGAGCTGTCACCACCACCGTCTGGCCCGCCCCATGTCACCACAGAGCCATCTGCCAGGAGCGCAGCAAATGCTGTACTGGAGCCCTGAGTCTGCTGCACTCTCCTCAACTGCTCTTGCACTGCGGAGCTGTCACCCCATGGCGTGGATCGCCCCATGTCACCACGGAGCCATCTTCAAGGATCGCTGCAAATGCATAGTATGTGGCCTGGACCTGCTGCACGGTCCTCAGCTGATCTTGGACTGCAGAGCTGTCACTACCAAAAAATGGATAGCCCCAGGTAACAACAGAGCCATCTTCCAGGATTGCCGCGAATGCACCACCACCTGTGGCCTCAACCTGCCGCACACGAATCAGCTTGTCTTGCACTGCAGAGCTGTCACCGCCGAAAGCGGGCAGGCCCCACGTCACCACAGAGCCATCTTCCAGGATGGCAGCAAATGCACAATCGGTGGCCTGCACTTTCTGCACACTCCTTAGCTGATCTTGGGCTGCAGAGCAGTCACCGCCACATTCAGGCTTGCCCCACGTGAGAATCGTGTCACCTCCGACAGTCCACAAAGCAAATGCTTTGCCAGTTGCGGCCATCTTGAATGGCTGCCTTGCAATCATTGTGAGCTGGTCTCCATCTTGCAGCCCCACAGCCTCAAGGGGTTCGCTGAGATCAGTCAGGACGCGCCCTTCGCCAGTCACAAGCTTGATGAAAGGCTTTCCAAGAGACTCTTGGGCCAAAGCCTTCAGGTCCCCAACTTTGGAGGAATGTGCGATGGAAAGACTTGCACTCCGACCGCTGGACAACGCCACGGTCACTTGAAGCATCTTCCAGCAGTCTTAACTACATTTTGACCTCCAACCAGGCACCAAGAGATCTTGAGCCCAAAAGGGCAAGTCAGATCTGATCCTTGTACATACTAATATATACCGTTAACTCATTCATATATGTATATATATATATATATAATTGTATATGCATATAGTAGGAAATTTCTCTGCAAACAATGTAGTCTGCATTGCCACAGTAAACCTTCTTTTCGTGCATGTCAGCGTGGCAGCGAGTGACCGAAAGAGCATGATCCACTATCACTTCTAGTACTTACGGTAATTACGTACATAGTCGGTCATCGTGGGTCAGCACTCTCATGTACAACCCAGCGGAAATATCGCACCAGGGGACGGTGCTGTCGGTTCATCCGTACCTTCACCTCGCGATTAATCGGTTTAAAGATCTTGCACCAAGTAGCACAAATTGTCAGACCGAGCTTCTTTTCCTCGAACAACATCCCACTTTTCCACTCGAACGAGCCGCCCTCAAGGCACCTCTGCCCCTAAACCCTAAACCCTAAACCCTAAACCCTAAACCCTAAACCCTAAAGCCCCTAAACCCTAAACCCTAAACCCCACTATAATCATCCCTATTAAGGGCAGTCCACAAACAACTCTTGCACCACATCTGAGTGTAGGCGGAGCTCCTCACCGGTACGAGTCCTTCCCATGATCCCAACAAACTAGGTTGCCCAGCAGCCTAGGCTGAAAAAGGGTGCCCTTTTTTGCTTAAAAGGGTTGAGAAGGGAACCCAAAGCACCTGAAAAGGGAATAAGGGTTACTGGGCATCCTAGGAAAAAAAGTGACCTCCAGGTATGAAGATAGAATTAAGCCCCGTGGCCTCTGTCCTCATCTAAATCCTTGTTGAGGTTTAGGGCTTAGGGCATAGGGCTTAGGGCTTAGGGTTTAGGGTTTAGGGTTTAGGGTTTAGGGTTTAGGGTTTAGGGTTTAGGGTTTAGGGTTTAGGGTTTAGGGTTTAGGGTTTAGGGTTTAGGGTTTAGGGTTTAGGGTTTAGGGTTTAGGGTTTAGGGTTTAGGGTTTAGGGTTTAGGGTTTAGGGTTTAGGGTTTAGGGTTTAGGGTTTAGGGTTTAGGGGTGCGGCCAGCCGGTGAAATTTATTATCTACAGAAAAACTGTTGCAAAAAGACTCATATTCCGCCCATGATTCGTGACATGTCTGTTTACAATGCTGACATACTCATGAATGAAAGTGGCTCTTTCAACACAGGGTCGTTCGTGCATCACGCATCTTGCGTGTGGTCAGCAACCCTAAACCCTAAACCCTAAACCCTAAACCCTAAACCCTAAACCCTAAACCCACCAGTGCAAGCTAAGCTCCCTATGGGGCCCCGCAGTCTGATCTTCAGACTTGGGATCGGCGCTGTGAGCTTGGAAAAACCTTGCACTTTGGGATGTCCCCACAGCCCTTAATAGGGATAATTATAATGGGGTTTAGGGTTTAGGGTTTAGGGTTTAGGGTTTAGGGTTTAGGGTTTAGGGTTTAGGGTTTAGGGTTTAGGGTTTAGGGTTTAGGGTTTAGGGTTTAGGGTTTAGGGTTTAGGGTACTATAATCCTTGTCAACATTGTGATCCCTTTTGGGGTACCCCAATATTAGGTGCCGTATTATAATGAGGATCCGAAAGGGGCCATGATTTTGACAACCACCCCTATTAAGGTCTGTTAGTATAAGGAGGAACATCGCAACTTACACTTTACAAACTTTGCGTGTCAGGCACGTCAAGATGAAGAGCGACATGGCAGCGGAGCCTGCCCATGAAATCGACGGGCTTCCAAAGAACCAGGGAGGGCCCCATATATACCCTTTAAGGGATTGTATGGGGCGGGCCCTCAGTCCCTCATGCCCGACTAAGAACCATCCAGCTAGAGGGCCGGAACGCACTCGACGTGCTTGGAGGCGTGAACTTCTTTGCGGAACATGCCAAGTTAGGCAGGGCGCGCTTCAGGTTTCGAGAGACACGTGGCTTCAACTGACCATATAGGTGCAACTATTTGCAACTGCGTGACGGACCCGAGAGCTGTTGAATGCATTGGAAACCGAGATTTACAAAGCCGGAGCCCGATTGCTTCTGTAACTTTGAAAACCCCTTGAAGAGTTTGGAGCTTGGGGCGGGCTTGGGGGCTTAGGGGGTTTGGGTGAATTGGTTGGGTGATCAGTTTGTTGTTGGCTGGTATGTCTTGTAGATGGCGAAAAACCGAATACAGACAGAGAGAGAGAGAGAGTGTGAGTAAAACTTGCAGCTGTATGTGGTCTTTCCTTGAAACTATGTGGTCGGTCGCTAATCAATCAACGTAACAAAAGAATTACACGCATAAGCACACAGACTGCCCAGAATGAATCCGAGTTAAGGTTTTGGGGGCCTAGGACTTTCACATATACGTAGATTGGGACTGGTATCACTTCCCTAAACCCTCAACCCAAAACCCTGAACCCTAAACCCGAAACCCTAAACCCTACACCCGGAACCCTAAACCCTAAACCCTCAACAGACCCCTGACTCTCTTTCATTTGCGAGCCGCACATCCAGCCCACTGCGAAGCCCAAGCTGGAGTCGCTGGCGTGCCGCCCTCTTGCAGCAGCTTGTTGGGGGCTCTTCTGGGGCTTTGGAGGTTTAGGGTTTAGGGTTTAGAGTTTAGGGTTTAGGGTTTAGGGTTTAGGGTATAGGGTTTCGGGTTTAGGGCTTTGGAGGTTTAGGGTTTAGGGTTTGAAGGGCTCAAAACTCTTTTAGGGCTGTTTTTGGGCTTTTCGGGGGGGCGGGGGGGTACGGCCTTAGAGGTCCCTCAGTTTTCAGGGTCTTAGAGAGTTTTGGGGTGCTGTTTGAACATTTAGGTCTTCGTTGTGTCTAGGCTCCAGGGATGTATATGGGGGGGTTGATTTGTATCATGGCTTTGGAGATCTCGACTTATGCGTATTGCGTATAGTCTAAAAAAAGAATTTTCATCAACGCCCATATAGACCCGAGTAGTGGGCGAAGGGGAATAAAGGCTCGTACGGCTTAGAGGGATTAAAGGGCTCGGGGACGAGAAATCTCTGGATTCATCCTTTGCAGCGTCCTGGATGATCGTCGGCATGGAGCTGAAACCCCAAACCCTCAACTCCTAAACACCTGAAACAGCCTGAGACTCTAAACCATAAACCCTAAACCCTAAACCCCAAACCCTAAGCCCTAAACCCTAAAGGCTTTCACCCGAATCTTAACGCACCACGAGCGGGGTTTCGCTGCGTCAGGGTCACCCCCCCTCGTACCGCCTTTACTGGGGTGCCTTACAAAAGCGGTCCCAAACTTTAGGGTTCAGAGTTTAGGGACAACCCGAACCCTAAACCCTGAACCCCAAACCCCAAACCGTAAACCCCAAACCCTAAACTCGGAACAACCCCCCTATATGTCAGCTTGCAAGGCCACCTACCGAATCGCCCGCGAAGGCGAGACCGCAAACGGTCCTGAAAGGCGCTGGGGGCTTGGGTTCGGGCGTTTCTGGGGCTTTGGGGCTTGGGGGTTCAGGGTTTCGGGTTTGTTTGGGGTTTGGGGAAGGCTTGGGGGAGCCTAGCTTCTTGAGCTTTCGGGGGTTTTGGGGTTTTCGAGGCTTCGGGGAGGAGATTCCGATGGTTTTAGGCTGGCTTCTGTGCCTGGCCCCGAAGAGCTTCTTTCAGAGCCGATCCCCACCCGATGCAGCCGAGGCTCACATGGATGCAGAGGGTCAGCAAGTAGTCCAGCACCAGCCAGCGCCGCGTCGCGGCGAAGAAGACGCACAAGGAGATGAGCCTCAGATGCAGGGGTTTAGGGTTTAGGGTTTAGGGTTTAGGGTTGAGGGTTGAGGGTTGAGGGTTTAGGGTTTAGGGGGAGCCGGGACCATGGGAGACGTCGAAGCAAGATCCTTTCGGAACCGGAACCAGGGGACTTCTCCTGACCACCTCTGAGCTCTAAGCGCAGGAACCGTCGGCCCGTCGGCTTCGGGATACAGTGCTGTTCTCAGGAGACGTTGAACACCTAATACACTTTGACGGTGTAAACTTCTGTAAGGCACCAGACCCAGGGCTCAAGAGAATGTCGGCATGGGCACTGAGAGAAGACCAAGCAGCACGCGCACGCAGAAGGCAATCCAGAGCATATAGGTGCCAACCACGGTGCCTGGTAAGCTGCAGCGCTCTGGCTGCACCATCTGGTCCCATGTTTTGGGCTAGTCTAGAGAGGGCCGTTGGCCTTGAGTCTCCTGGTCTTGTTTTGCTTTAAACTTCGGGATAAGATGATGCTTGAATTGATGGCTGCGCCGAGGCTTCGCCCAAGAGGCCAACACAGCTAACCTTATTTACTTTGTTTCCGCCCCTCGACCGAATCGGCCCTACAGAAAACCTGCCAGGCCTACATAGACCTACCAAGCGAGTGTTTAGCTGCCGAGACACCAGTGAAGTGCGCCAGCGCCCCCGTGAAAGGGGCACCGGCTTTCCATAATGATAGCTGGTCCTGCAGGTGGAGCACTCAAGGGTTCCTGGTATACGAACATCAAGTCATTCGGACATCCGTGAAACCACGGTTCCCTTAACCGGGTTGCTATTGCCCAAACCTCCCTTCGAGCAACGAGGATGCTGTACCTAAACCCTAAACCCTAAACCCTAAACCCTAAACCCTAAACCCTAAACCCTAAACCCTAAACCCTAAACCCTAAACCCTAAACCCTAAACCCTATAAACCCTAAACCCTAAACCCTAAACCCTAGACCCTAGACCCTAAACCCTAAACCCTAAACCCTAAACCCTAGACCCTAGACCCTAAACCCTAAACCCTAAACCCCAACCCTAAACCCTAAACCCATTCCGTATTCCGTAACGAACCCAAGGGCGACCAGCGGCCCACAGCTGCAGCCGGAGGATTCCGTGCTTCGCTCCGCCGTTGTTGGGGGAATTTTCCGGAACTGAAGCGAGACAGAGAGACCTCTGCAGGCTCCCCAAAACAACAACTGGTTTAGGGTTTAGGGTTTAGGGTTTAGGGTTTAGGGTTTAGGGTTTAGGGTTTAGGGTTTAGGGTTTAGGGTTTAGGGTTTAGGGTTTAGGGTTTAGGGTTTAGGGTTTAGGGTTTAGAGGTTAGGGTTTAGGGTTTAGGGTTTAGGGTTTAGGGTTTAGGGTTTAGGGTTTAGGGTTTAGGGTTTAGGGTTTAGGGTTTAGGGTTTAGGGTTTAGGGTTTAGGGTTTAGGGTTTAGGGTTTATAGAAATTGTATAGGGTTCAGGTCCGGAGTTTTGAGCGAAAGTTTTGACCGAAAGTTTTGACCGAAAGTTTCGACCGAATGTTTTGAGCAAGTTTTTTGTTTTGCTTTGCTGGGGCTGGGCTGGGGCTGGGGCTGGGGCTGGGGCTGGGGCTGGGGCTGGGGCTGGGGCTGGGGCTGGTGGGGTTGGGGCTGCTGGGCCTGGCTGAACCTGGGGCTGAGGCTGGGGCTGGGGCTGGAGCTGGGGTGCTAGGCCTGGATGGGTCCGGAGTTTTGGGCGAAAGTTTTGGGCGGGTTTTGGGCGAAAGTTTTGAGCGAGTTTTCTTGTTTGCTTTTGGCAAGAAGGAATGCCATTCCATTTCAGGGCTGGGGCTGGGGCTGCTGGGGCTGCTGGGGCTGCTGGGGCTGCTGGGGCTGCTGGGGCTGCTCGGGCTGCTCGGGCTGCTGCTGGGGCTGCTTTTCTGGGGTTGGGAGTTCGGCCTTCTGGGGTGGATTATTGGACGAGCTGCTCGAAGTGAAACGCATACAATTTCTATTTATCCTGGTCTTGAGGGTTTAGGGATAGGGTTTAGGGTTTAGGGTTTAGGGTTTAGGGTTTAGGGTTTAGGGTTTAGGGTTTAGGGTTTAGGGTTTAGGGTTTTTCGAACATCCCCACCTCGATCCTCGTTGAAAAGAAAGAACGCAAATAAGATGCTCCAGCAAAGAAACATTGATTCAAACACGCGTTTTTAGAATGTGCTTGCAACTGGGGTTGGGCACGCCAGGGACACTCTGCGGTTCGGCACTCCAGGGAGGAGTAGACAGGCGAGGAGAAGAGTTCCGGGCGAGGAAGGAGTTGAGTTCAAAATCTAACAACCCCACACCGAAGGTGGCGAAATCACGCCTATTCGCTGGGTCGGTTTTTTTAGAACATCAACAATATTTCAAAAACAGGTCCAATTGGATTGCCAGCGCTTGGATGTTCATCTTCATTTTTCACCAACACACAAAAATCTAGAGCTCTCCATTCGGCCGGCCAGCTGCGGCTATCGGGGACTGCGGCATCATGATATCTCGCAAAACACCGTGCACCCGAGGCCCTAAACCCTAAACCCTAAACCCTAAACCCCAAACCCCAGCACAAGTGCTCCTCCAGCATCCCGGAGATTGCCGGGGTACACATGAGCAGCACGTACCTAGTAGCGTTTAGGGTTAAAGGTTTAGGGTTCAGGGTTTAGGGTCTAGGGTTTAGGGTTTAGGGTTAAGGGTTTAGGGTAGGAGTGCGGAGGTTCCTCGGAGAAACCGCTCCCCACCCTCTAGGCTTTTAGATAGGTTGGGCGCCGTCCTCACAGAATGGCTTTTTGGGTGGTTGGCTTTGCCGCCTCGGACGGCGTGGGGTGGGAGAAAAGTGTTAGATGGCCTTCCACAATCGGGCCAAAGCTGCTCTTCGCGCCTCACGAAGCTTTCGAGCTTGTCCCAAAAACCTAACCTTCACAGCATCTAATCTACGCCCCATCACCCTAAACCCTAAACCCGAAACCCTAAACCCTAAACTTTAAACCCCAAACCCTAAACCCTACCCCTACGCCCTTAACCCGAAACCCTAAACCCCTCCATGTTGCAAAACCCGATCCTAACACCACCTGGCAAGCCACGAGTTGGAGATCTTGGTGGCCGACTGTAGGAGATCCTCGAGGGGGTTTCGCGCGCAGGGTTTAGGGTTTAGGGTTTAGGGTTTAGGGTTTAGGGTTTAGGGTTTAGGGTTTGGGGCTTAGGGCTTAGGGTTTAGGGTTTAGGGTTTAAGGTTTAGGGTTTTTTTGTTAGCAAGGCCGTGCGCGCTGATGCGTTGCGCGCTTAGGCGCCCTCTCTGGCTCAGGTTCTCGCATGATGCGTGCAATCTTAGTATACTTGTCATGGCGTTTAGTGCGTGAGGTGTGGTCCGATTACAAAGTTTCGGGTAGTGTTGTTGGGCAGTGACTTCGACCCAGCAAGGGAATTACATTCCACGTCTACGGCCTTGGTTAATGATCCTGTCCTCACGTGCTGCTGCGAAGACTACAGAATGAACTGCGCGAGGGGCTAAGCACACTTCTTTCATGAAGGTCTTTTGGGCTTTATAGTTGTGGCCGGCGGGCTTGCTCCCAAACTGTCTGATTGGAGATTCGTGAATATTCATCCCAAGCGAAGGCTACAGCCTCTACTGGGATGATGTCCAACTGGTACGGGTACGGAGCATGCCATGAATTGTGAAGCAAGAGGTTTGACCAATGCTTCTTGCCTTTGCCGAGCGAGGCGCCTTTGTTGGAGCCTTGCGCAGCTGCTTTGGCAGCCCGAAACGCCTGTCGCTCGGCTTCGTCAAATTCCCACTGGCTGCCCCACAAAAGCTGGTTCCACTTCTCACTCCACAACGACTCCTCAGAAGGTGCGGTCGTGGCCTGGGACTGCATCACTTTAAACATGTCCTGGGTGACTAGTGTGAAAGTTTTCCAGAGTATGATGAGCTTTTGGCCCTCATAGTCCGGATGCGAACTAACACATGCAAGGAGCACCCTCAGCGGCGCCTCCAACTTCCGTTGCCATTGCGGCGTGGATGATGCGCTGCGTTGCTGGTGTTTGGAACAGCCTGTCCACTTCAAATTCTGAGAAGCTGAAGGCACGTTGAAGCTCTTGCCTTGCTGAATGAAGACACACTCCCCGGTCACACTGACGCCCAGCCATCACTGAGTACACCTGGACAGTGGATGATGGACCAGGAATTCCAGCAACCCACGGCGGGGCAAAAAGCGCCCTGACACAGCACGTATGCCATATCCAACCCGGCCCTTGGTGGTTACCAGCATCTTCAACAGCTCAGAGGATGACATACTGGCTCTCCCCTTCTTCGGATGGGACAGTCAGAGATGAAGGTCAGAAGATCTCTCAGCACCACGAAGCGTTTTCTGAGATCATCACCCACCCCGCTGCGATGAGGCAAGAAGTGGTGGATTTGATCTGGAAATGCGCCACCCGGCCTCAAGGCAGACAACTCCGGCTGTATTGAGCACACTGCACAGTAGCGGACACCAGAAGCATTCCCACGTGAGGGTTTGAGAACTACAGTGTCACCAGAGGTTGATTCTGACTTTTCCGTTGCGGTAAAATCTGGTTGCCACAATCTCCTCTGCCCGGTCGCGTCGAGCCATATCCTCGCCGCCGTCTGGAAGGCCAACGCGATTGGCCCGTGCGATCATCCTCAACGTCTCCCCCGATTCTTGCGGCGGTGGGAGATCGTCCCATCTCTTGGTGTCAGTGGATGCAACAGGATGCCCCTGACGTGCGTCGTTGACCGCTGAGAGCCACCACGGAAGGGAGACCCCAACATGGTCGGTATGGCAGCTGAGAGAACGTCTTCACTTTGCTGGAAGACGTAGGACTCTAACATGATGTCCATTCCAGCAGTCATGATCAAGGTCCTGGGGTTCTCCTCGTTCTTCACAACAGCGCATTATCAACGCTTGGGATATCTGCCACAGCAAAGAACAGATCAGCGATGTACTGTGCAGTGGCAAGGAAGCCGTACCCTACGATAGATTCCATGAGGGAAGCCCGATCGAGCTGTGGGGCATTGCTGCCTAGCATCGTTTCCAAGTCCAGGTATTGCAGAGCCCCAGAGAGCTTAAGGCAAATCGGTATGATCGGGTCATAGATTTGCAGGTAGGCTGCTGGAAAAGTTTCCGGCAGATGAAGGAGCTTGTCAGCGACTTCCAAGAGGTAATTTGGGTCAGCTAACCTGCTTGGCAGGCTTTGTAACAGCTCCTCATAGGTACGGTAGGCGCGGAGCTGCAGCTCATGCGTGGTCAAATGGTTTGAGTCGCGGAGATTCATGTAGGGCCTGGGCTTCACGGTCCGTCCGAAGTGCCGTCCAGTTTCTAGGGCCTGCCATAAAAGCCCACTTACGGACTGGTTTTTTCCTTGTTCCAACAGCCCTTCCTGCCTGGCAGGCTCGCCCTGAGCTTGACATTGCGGCCCATGGGAGACCGCACGGGGCTTCGCTTTTGGTGGCCGTGCAGGGTTTAGGGTTTAGGGTTTGGGGTTTAGGGTTTAGGCTTTAGGTTTAGGGTTAGAGTTGGGCGCGTTAAGGGCTTTTCAGGGTTTTTAGCACTTGTAGGGTACACGGGGCATAAGGTTGATTCATTTTCTGGTTTGTGATCTCCCCAGAAGGCCTCGACGCAAGAACGCCAACAAACGTGAAATCACAAAAAAAGGCATTAGTAGCAACAACAGCGGCAACAACCATAATGGTCCTACGGAAAATGAATAGCTCTAGAAATCACCATCACAACGTGTCTAGGTGCCCCAAGCATGATGTGCAGAACATGTTTTGCGCCACACCCACAAACCCACTACGAATCAACGAGTTTGCGCGTCATCCAGCTTCAGTTCACATGGCTTCGCGGGAATTGCTGCAGTATAAAGGCCATGTCTAAACCCCTCAACCTTAAACCCTAAAACAGCTTCAAGCCAGTCCTGTCGCAATGGGCCTCGGATGTACTCCGTGAAGGCCTCCGAAGGGGGATTCTGCCATGGAGACAGAAGGAATTCCCTGTGAAAGGATCCCAAACTGGGGCATCCTTGAGCACCCTCTGCAGAAGGCACTAGCAAGTCCCAAGCTTGTCTGGTGTCCGGTTTTGGGCCGCGTGTGAGTCTGGCGTGGGCCCGGGGTGTTCGCGCATTCCTCTGCGCACGCGTCATCACTTCTTGCTGCGCCTAACTGTCATTGCCTTCGGACTTCTGAGCTCATGAAATCCCAGCGTCGCGACATCTGGTCTCGCGAAATGCGAAACCGTCGTTGCTTTTGGACTTCTGGCTCCCACTGTTTGGGGTCATCCTGGCATAACTGCTACTCGCGGGGTACGACGATTCTTGCTATGACTACTGCGACTACGACTACTACGACTGCCGTCTTCTTGGACTACACTAGTATCATTACGACTCGGACGATCATTCCTGAGCTTAGGCAAGGGGTGCCCGTTGGCACCTGGAACTTTTTCAAGCCTTTATCACCCAGCCAACAGCCTCGGACTTGCAAAGCCCGAAAGCCCGAAACGAAACCCTAAGCCAGAGCCGCAAAACCCCAAAACCCTAAAACACCAACAACCCTGAACCCAAACCCCAAACCTCAAAAACACCCAAAAAAAGCCCAGAAACAGCCCAAAAAGCCAAAAAAAAAACAGCAAAAAAACACCATAAAGCCCAAAACCGTCAAAAAACAGGAAAACCCCAAACCCTAGAACCCTAAACACTACATGGGCCCTTGGAGGAACCTTAGTGTGGCCAGCAGGAGCCAGGCCCTAACACCTAAACCCTAAACCCTAAACCCCAAAGCCTAAACCCTAAACCCTAAACCCCAAACCCTCAACCCCAAACCCTAAACCCTAAAGGCCTCGCGGCTGCCATACCAGCGGTCGATGGCTGCCAGCACGAACCTCGACGGCCGAAGTTCGGGGCGTATGAAACATTGGTTGGCTGTAATTTGGGGGGCCCTCATTTCCAGGGCTACAAAAATTGTATAGGGTTTGGGTCCCAATAACGTTTTGACCGAAACGTTTTGTTTTTTGGAAATATGTTTATCTTTTGGGGGGAGGGGGGGGGGGCGAGGGAATGGGGAGGGGGGGAAGGGGGGGAGGGGGGGAGGGGGGTTTGCGCCAGCGAGCAGAACACCGGAGCCTCTAAATTTGCTCCAAACCAAAAATTTGAAATTTTTCAAAATTCAAGAAAAGCGCTGAAAAATCAACCTTTGCAAGTGTCAAATCTGTTGCAAATGAAATTTGCAGATTGAACTGTCTTGCCCTTCGTTCTCTACAGCAGTTCATCTTGTACAACTCGTTTTCAAGTTGTACCGTCTCAATATTGACTTGATTGGCCGTCCACTTCCAGCTCGGGTGATTATGACCTCCGGACAGCCGAAAGCGTTGTCGAGCACCCGAGGCGGAACCTGCAAAGTGGAGGCCACAACACACACATACCACCACTTTTTGGTGGTAACACCACAATCCACAAATTTGCAGACAATCCAAAGTTGATTCCTTCAAAGAAACGTGCTTCTGAGAAAGTGGATTTTCTTTGAACTTGGGGCTGTGTGGTTTGTTGCGTTGTTTTTTGGGGAGGAGACGAGGAGGAGATGAGGAGGGGATGAGGAGGGGATGAGGAGTGGATGAGGAGGGGAGGGGAAGAGGAGGGGAGGAGGGAGGGGATGAGGAGGGGATGAAGAAGGGATGAGGAGGGGATGAGGATGAGGAGGGGATGTGGAGGGGATGAGGAGGGGATGTGGAGGGGATGAGGGAGGGGATGAGGAGGGATGAGGAAGGATGAGGAGGGGATGAGGAGGGGATGAGGAGGGGATGGGGAGGGGATGAGGAGGGGATGCGGAAGGGAGGAGGAAGGGATGAGGAGGGGGATGAGGAGGGGATGAGGAGGGGATGAGGAGTGGATGAGGAGGGGATGAGGAGGGGATGAGGAGGAATGAGGAGGGATGAGGAGGGGATAGGAGGCGGAGGAGGGGAGGGAGGAGGAGAGGAGGACGGGAGGAGGGGAGGAGGGGAGAGGGAGGGGAGGAAGGAAGGGAGGGAAGGGGAGAGGTTTAAGTAAATTGAGCATTTGGCCTCAGAGGTGTTTGGATTCATTTACTTAAATTCAGCTTGTCAGCTGTGTAGACAAATCCTTGGAAAATTCTGAATGAGACCACATCCAATTTCTGTTTATTTTGTCGTGAGGGTTTAGGGTTCAGGGTTTAGGGTTTAGGGTTCAGGGTTCAGGGTTTAGGGTTCACGGCTCAGGGTTTAGGGTTTAGGGTTTAGGGTTTAGGGTTTAGGGTTTAGGGTTTAGGGTTTAGGATTTAGGGTTTAGGGTTTAGGGTTTAGGGTTTAGGGTTTAGGGTTTAGGGTTTGCTGCAAAAGGGCGCAAAGGCTGTGAAGGTTGGGATGCTCAGTGGCCTCGAAAGCTTCGTAACAGCTACGGACCGATTGTGGAGGGCCATCTAATACTTTTCTCCCACTCTGCTGAAATGCTTCGAAAGGTCGCAGGTTCAAGGGAAGCCTTTTTTGAGCAGGCCTGGCCGGAGGTTTTTGAGGCCTCAAGCGTGGGGGGGGGGGGGGGGCTCATCCTTGAGTTATGGTTTAGGGTTGAGAGTTACAAGCTGCAGCTCTTGTGGAATTCGGGTTCAGTGTTTAGGGTTTAGGGCTTAGGGCTTAGGGCTAAGAGGTTACTAAGCGCAACCGACGCATTGCTTTAAACCCCTCTGAAGAAGGGGAAAGGGCGCCGAGTTAATATTTGCAATATTTACGAGCATGATACATTACATTTCAGACTAGATTAATGATTTTACGTTTATTCTTTTGTATATATATATGTATATATATATACGTATATGTATATGTATATATTTACATATCCATATTGGTCATTCTCTTCATTATATTCTGTATATATATATACATACATACATACATACATACATACATACATACATGGACCACACACACACACACACACAGACACACACACACACACACACACACACACACACACACACACACACACACACACACACACACACACACACACACACATTGTCTTTTCCGGAGATTCGGACTGAGCGACTCCCGGTCGGCGTCCAAGCTGCAGCGCGTGTCGCTCAGGTTGAAGTGCTCCTTGGTTGAGGAATCAGGGTTTAGGGTTTAGGGCTCAGGGTTGAGGGTTGAGGGTTGAGGGTTGAGGGTTGAGGGGCTTTAGGGTTGAGGGGCTTTCGGGTGAGGATTCAAGGTGACGCTTTAGGGTTTAGGGTTGAGGATTCAAGGTGAGGGTTTAGAGCTGTAGGGTTTAGGGTGGAGGATACAAGGCTTTGGGGTTTTGGGTTGAGGCTTCAAGGCTTTAGATTTTTTTAGTTTAGGGTTGAGGATTCAAGGTTTGGGGTTTAAGGAGGTTGAGGGTTTTAGGGCGTAGGCTAAGGCCAGTGGTTGTGATGAAGAGGCTGTCGTAGGAACCCCTAAACCCTAAACCCTAAACCCTAAACCCTAAACCCTAAACCCTAAACCCTAAACCCTAAACCCCGCTTCAAGATGCACAGCACTGAAGAGGAGGGAAGGCCCAAGCCCTGAAAACCCGAAACATGAAGCCCTGAACCTTGCCACGCTACAAGGGCCGGGTTTAGGGTTTAGGGTTTACGGTTCAGGTTTAGGGTGTTTAGGGTTTAGGGTTTAGGGTTTAGGGTTTAGGGTTTAGGGTTTAGGGTTTAGGGTTTAGGGTTTAGGGTTTAGGGTGCAGGGTTTAGGGTTTCGGGCTTCGGGAATCCAAAAACGCTCGGCCGTTCCGAGCAGCCAGCTCATTGAGGAGCTTGGTCTTGCCCGTGGCACTCCGGCGGAGCGCGTGTATCAGCAGCATGCAAGGGGACAGAGCCAACGCAAAGGCCAGGCTGCTGTAGTTCATGACGCCTATGGTCCAGATGCATCCTGCCCAAGCGCTTTTGGGCAAGAAGTATAAGACTGCTTGGACAAGGCTGGGCACCTAAGCCGTAAACCCAGGCCTCCAATGCCGTAGAACCCGAGGAGGGTGATCAGCACCATGCGCTCCACAAACAGCGGGGCAAGAACCAACTGCCCGCGAGGGTTCACCTCTCTGGAGTTTTGGGGGGAAATCTGGGAAGGCGTTCAAAAGAAGTGCCCAAAAGCAGTCGGAGATTCCTGGTCACCCCGAAGTCAAAGCAAAGGGTCTCAGGTGCCTAATGGGTTCGAAGAGCCGTTTATGGCTTCGGAGGCTTAGGGTTTAGGGTTCTGCTTCTTCGTAACAGGTACCTCAAGCCTGGAACAGGGTGTTGCCACCACCACCAACACCACTACCACCCCTTCAAGCCATGTTAAAGCAAGCCCTAAACGGTTCAACGACTCGATGCAAAACCCTAAACCCTAAACCCGAAACCCTAAACCCTAAACCCCAGCCCCTCAGGTCAGCTGACCCGAGTGCCGGAAAACTATTGACAGTCATACGGCCGCGCGCAGCTGAGATCTTCACACGGGCCTTACTTGAAACGCTTCGAGACAAAAACTCAGCAGCTCCTTCACCAACCCCCATGCCCCACCCCCCCCCCCCCGGGCAACTGGGAAGACCCTCACCCTGAACCCGTCCTCTCCGCTCACGGGGTCTCCCTAAACCCTAAACCCTAAACTCTCAACCCAGATATTCCGGAATCCTAAACTTGTGGGGGGTGATTGAGGGGTTGTGTGACCATAGCGACACATCGGCCTTGCGGTAGGCGGCGATCTCGAAGACGCACCAAAGCCTCGAGGATCAGGGCACGGGGACATGAGGACATGTCAGGTTAAGGTTTCGGGTTTGGGGTTTGGGGTTTAGGGTTTAGGGATTGGGGTTTAGGGTTTAGGGTTTGGGGTTTAGGGTTTAGAGTTTGGGGCTTCGGGTTTCGAGTTTAGGGTTTTGTGCTGAGGGTTTCGAGTTTAGGGTTTGGGGCTGAAGGTTCCGAGTTTAGGGCCTAGAGTTTAGGGCTTCAGGTCAAAAAAGGAAGCTCCAACTCAACGCCACACATGGTGCCCCCCCATGCCTGGAGAGGTAGGAAGGGGACCAGAGGATGCGAAGCTGCTGGGAGATGCTCCTCGGCTGCTGCAGGCCCTCAGGCTGCGGGGCTAGCTATGTGGTTTTTTTTTTCAATAATAAGGGACCCTTTAAGTAATCTAGACACCCCAAGAGTAGGAGCCCCTTAGAATATGGACCCCAATAAGGTACCCCTAATATCAGATTTTTTTTGTTCTTGGGACGGGCTCTCAGGTGAATCACCGGTTTGCGAGGCTACGCCATGTTTAAGAGCAGCCTGGGAACAAGAAACCGGCGATCGCGTCGATGCCCTGCTGCTTCTTTACCTCGACGTGTTGGGACTCAAGAGGCTTCGATTTCGGGCTCGGACTGTAGGATTGCTGGTTTTTTTCAGATGCTGAGCAGGAAACAAAGTCGGAAACTTCGAGTTCACCAAAATCGCGCGACGAAATTGCAGAATGAGAAAAAGGGGGGGTTTGTAATATGTTGTGACATGCTGCAAGGTAGTTTCCCGGCAGTGGCCGTTTGTGAAGCGTCGGACGCTTCTGTGGGAAACCATGACTCAAAAAAGCCGCTCTGGGCACAAATAAGAAATGCAAAAAACTATTTGGAAAAAAAACACACACAGACACACACACACACACACACACACACACACACACACACACACACACACACACACACACACACACACACACACACACACACACACCACACACACACACACACACACACACACACACACACACACACACACACACACACACACACACACACACACACACACACACACACACACACACAACAAAAAGAGCCTTCAAAAGGAAACCGCCCAGCTGCTGGGTCGCCCTGGTGGATACAAGCAGCGTCCATGAAGCAAAGGTCGGACCTCTTAAGAGCAGGGAGTTCGAGTTCGATGAGCTTTGGTGCGACAATCCCGCAGCAGAAGCTGGAGCTGCGACATAAAAAGGAGAAGGAAAGCACCCCAAACCCCCAAGAGTATGCGCAAACCCAAGGACGGTGGGGAGCCTGCTGCAGGAGTCTGGCAGGTGGGGCGCCAGCAGAAGACCCACGATCACCGAGAGGAAACCTGACGTTTGGCAACTGCACGGCCACGCGACTTGAGGCAACACTTGACAGACAAGCTGCAGGGGGGAGCTGGGGATATCGTCAGAGTAAGGGGTGGTTTCGGGTGTTGGCGTTTTAAAACTTCAATTGAATTGAAGTTGCAGGTTCTCTCTTAGGGGCCTTCCAAAAAAAACACGCGAAGGTGATTCAGCCTAGGAGCCAGCACAGATGATCCAGGGGCCCGTCGGGCAGCCCGGTTTGGGCGCGCGCCAGCGCAGAGCTTCCGGGTTCACGTGGCCGAAGAAGGGGAGAAGCTCCAGGAGGCAGAGGCACCAGGACAGCGCGACGGCCAGCACCCAGCAGATCATGAGAAAGCGATGGCTGGAGTAGGTTCTTGGCTCAAGGGGCTTAAGAGTGGGACGAAAATCGTGCTTTTTGCGCCGCTTCAAAGGCACTGAAGGCTCGGAGAACATCTTGCAGGAACGGCCAAGTATCAGGAGGGAGAGGTACTTCACATGTCCCGGGGTCTCCCAGGTGTGCGACAGGAAGTAGTCGTACCTCAGATGTTCGATGAAACTTGGAGAACGAATCCTTGAAAGGTGCAAAAAACCCGAAACCCGCCACCCGGAACCCCGGCGCGGGTCTGAGAGCATCGACATTTGTGCTGCCTGGGAATCATTCAGAATCATATCTTTCCGTATCAGGATGCTCTGTTGCCGGCTTCGACCAGCTGTGGAGGCTCATCAGCTGCTCCTGTCATAGGGAAGCTTCCCTGCAAACATGTTGCCGCGCCTGCCGGAACTCCGACAACTTCCGGCAGCCAGCACATGGGTCAAATGGGTGGTCACAGGAAGGGTTTAAGGTTTAGGGTTTGGGGTTTAGGGTTTAGGGTTTAGGGTTTAGGGGGGCTCCTGAGACATCGGCAGCAGCGGCTTGCGCCACAAGCGGCCCAGTTGCTGCAGGGACTTCCGGAGGGTGACGGCCCGGACCATGCCCTCTTTGGAGTTTAGGGTTTAGGGTTTAGGGTTTAGGGTTTCGGGTTTCGGGTTTAGGGTTTAAGCGCTTCGTTCTCTTTCTGTTTGATGGTTCGCGCAACTTCTGGCTGGGGGCTCAACAGGAATTTGGCAATCTGAAAGGCTGGAAACGCTTTCTCAAAAACAATGCGAATTTCCTGGAACCTCATGAAAAAGGGCCTCCAGCTTTGGACTTGCCAACTAAGAGGCTCGATGGCACAGAAACCGAAACAAGTAGACCGGGCAGCCAGTATTCCACAACCCAATGTGCACAAGCAGAAGTCTTTGAAGGGAGGTCAGCAACATCTCCCGACTGTTTTCCTGCTACGTGGCAAGGCTCGAGTCTTTGCGACTTTGAGTAGTTCGAGGAACTGCAGCTCAGAAGTAGACAGCCAGAGTAGACCTGAACAGTCTCAGGCCTTCTCCAGCTGGAGATTCTTCAAGCTGTCCAGCCGCGTCTGCGTGCGCGAAGAAGGGGACAGCGACATGTCAGGCTGGACCGGGCTCGACCTGAACACGCCCCAAAAAGCAAGTGAGCAGACGCACAAATCACACGCCGGCACGCCGAAAGGGCGACGGCAACAGCGGATCGGATGGATGCAACCCTAGGCGCCCTGTGCCCTGAAACAGATGCGGAAGCCTTTCACCGGCAGAGGGAACGCAGCTTCATCACCGACACCCCAAAGCCCCACGTCGCCCCCCCCTCACGGTGAGGTGTTTAGCATGTTTAGCATGCTTGGCCCAACTTCCGGCTAGAGACACTGCGATAGACAGCGACGGCTCAAAGACGTACTGGGCATCCGCGGACACCACCTGCACCAGCTCAGGCGTTGATACAAAAGCAGTACTGCGATGCCTATGACGGCTCTCTCAACCTTCTCCTGCACTCTCCCCGAGCAAGCCGACCACCTGAAAACCTGGCCGGGCCTCCTTGGGAGGCTCGGCATCTCCCTCATAGCAGCAGCCGCAATCGAACACGAGCGTCACCATTGCATGATGGGGGGGTTGGCGCTTATTCGGGCTTTCTTGCAAAGCTTTCTCGCATCGCCTGCCGTCCGGGACAAAAAAACCCTTGAGACCCCCTAACCTCTTCATGGCACAGAGGTGTCCTACGGGGTACGACCGGGTCTGACAACTGCGAACCCTGTGAAGCAGCTATGAGGCCGTACGGCTCAGAACAAAAACGACCGAACACAGGCAGTCCGATCTTCAGGATGTGAAGTAGGTTTTATAGTTCTTGTACCCCCGAAAAGGAACCAGTATATACACTCACCAATGTTAAAAAGGAACCTTATATACACTCGCCAGTAACAGCAATATAGACCCTGCTTCATGTATACTTTACAAATCCCAAGCACGTTCATGGAACCTTGACGCCACCCTCGGAGCACACACACCCCCAAACACTGCACCTCCTAAACCCCCCCTTTTCGGCGCTCAGAGCCACCCAAAAACAACACAAAACAAACAAATAAAAACAAAAACACCACCAAACACAGTCATAAATCAAGAGCAGAGCCTCATGAACCCTCAACCCTAAACCCTACACCCTAAACCCTCAACCGCAGCTTGTGTGCCACTATCCCGGCGGCTTTTGTCTCTTTTTCCTCCGCGCTCCCCACTTGGGTCTTCGCCGGCTCAAGGCTCCAGGCGCCGTGGCGCGCCACCAGCTCGGCAGCTTCGGCGCTGGTCAGGAAGAACCTGGTTTAGAGGCTTTAGGGTTTCGGGGCTTTAGGTTTAAGATGTAACATTTAGGGTTTAGGGTTAAGGGTTTAGGGTTTAGGATTTAGGGTTTAGGGTTTAGGGTTTAGAGTTTAGCTTCATGATGGGGCTTGAGAGGTTGTAAAGAGGGCTAAGCCAGGTTCTTGACACAGTTGCTGGAGGCTTTCTCTTCAGGTGTTTGGTGCTGATGACCCTAAACCCTAAACCCTAAACCCTAAACCCTAAACCCTAAACAAAAGTCCCCTAGGTTCCTGAAGCGCGCCGGGGCCCTCGCGTGCCGCGGATGGGGTCCAGGCGCAGCACGCCGGACTCCCCCTTGGAGAAAGCCGGAGCGCTGCCCCCAATGAAGCCCAAAATGCCCCTAAACCCTAACCCTAAACCCGAAACCCTAAACCCTAGCCCTAAACCCTAAACCCTAAACCCTAGAACAAGAAAGCCTCTACAAAAGGCCGGAGGTTTAGGGTTGAAGGGTTGGGGGTTGAGGGTTTAGGGTTGAGGGTTTAGAGGGTTCGAGGGTTCGAGGGTTGAGGGTTGAGGGTTGAGGGTCGAGGGTTGAGGGTTGAGGGTTTAGGGTTTAGGGTTTAGGGTTTAGGGTTTAGGGTTTAGGGTTTAGGGTTTAGGGTTTAGGGTTTAGGGTTTAGGGTTTAGGGCCTCCGGGCTCAGCATCTCAAGTCCTAGCATCGATTTTGGTTCCGTGTTTAGGCTCTAAACCGTCGACTATGGTTTGATTTTCTGATTGGGGGGCTTAGGGCCCCAAAACCCGAACCACAATCGTGTCGATTGCCCTTCCGGGTTTAGGATCTAAACCGTCGATTCTGGTTTCGACTCTTGAATCCGAGTTTAGGGCCCCTAGGCCCGAAACCATAATCGGGTCGATTACGTTCCGGGCTTAGGGGCCCCTAATCCCGAAACCACAATCGGGTTGGAAAATCAAGAGGCCATTTCTGTCATTAAGATCTGCGTATACTTACATCTGGAATCGATCACCTGTTACCGAATCACGAGGTACTCCCAACGGAGCCTCCACGATTATGGTTCCGGGTTTTCGCGCCCAAAGCAGCGATTATGGCTCCGGGTTTCGGCTCTAAACCGTCAATTGTGGTTTTGATTGTGGTTCCGGGTTTCGGAGCCCTAAGCCGTCGATGATGGTTTCGATTATGGTTCCGGGCTTAGGGCCCCTAAACCCGAAACCATCATCGGGCGGGAAAATTTAAAGGTCGGTCATTCCTGTCATGAAAACCTGTGCATCTTTGCTTTTGGAATCGATCACTTTTTCCCTAATCCTGAGGAACCCCGACAGCTTCCATTATGGTTCAGGGTTTAGGCCCCTAACCGTCGATTTTTGTTCCGACTATGATTCCGCTAAAACGTCGATTATGGTGGTGACCAAGAAAATTAGGGTTCATAAATATATGTGTATATATATATATAAATGCATGATTCAAATCAATATACAGAAAGAGAGGGTTTAGGGTCTAGGACGAAGAAAAGTGCCCCTTCCCTTTTGGAGGAGCGCCTGGACAAGGGCGACCCAATGCCCTGCAGCGCCGTTCGCCTCGTAGAGAAGAAGGCCTCGCTGGCCTCTCGGGCTGAACTCCAGGATCCCAAAGGGTTTAGGGTTTAGGGTTTAGGGTTTAGGGTTTAGGGTTTAGGGTTTAGGGTGTAGGGTTTAGGGTTTAGGGTTTAGGGTTTAGGGTTTAGGGTTTAGATTTTAGGGTTTAGGGTTTAGGGTTTAGGGTCTAGGGTATGGGGTAAGTATCCCAAAGCATCCCCCCAAAGTATCCTTAAACCCTGCGCCTCTGCTTCTTGCCCCATGAAGGGGTCCTAAACGGTCCGCACCCCGGCCTCCACTTTGTGCCCAGCTCTCCACCCAATTCCTGCAGCCGGGGGATCCAGGAGGGCTCTCCAGTCTTCGGAGCTGTGGGGGTTTCCGAAAATAGGGGTTCCCTTGCTGCGGGGTTCCTATAATACTATTTGGGGTATACTAAGGGTACCCCCTATTTGTGGAAATGCTCATGTTCGGAAAAGCTCCAGGCTTCGGATTTAGACTCAACACAAAAGAGCTGCCTCCAAATGATTTGCGAGAGCGGGGGCATACCGCTTACTCGGCACTCTCCCCTTCCAATGCCAGGTCAAGCAAACTGTGGACAAAAGGTTCCCTAGGGTTTAGGGTTTAGGGTTTAGGGTTTAGGGTTTAGGGTTTAGGGTTTAGGGTTTAGGGTTTAGGGTTTAGGGTTTAGGGTTTAGGGTTAAAAGGTTCCCTAGACCCTGAACCCCTCAACCCCCTAGACCCGCCAAACTACTGGTGCGCGGCCCTGCGCACCTTTCTCGAAAGACCGGCACCACCGCGGGCTCGGTCTCTCGAAGCACTTGGAGAGCATGCCTTGTGGGGTCCGGGACCACTCCTATCATTCCTGGAACTGAAGCCTAACTCCCTAAATTGACCGCATGATTGTCCGTCAGCCCACATCTTGCAAGTTGGGAAGCAAGAAAGCACCCTGCCTTGCACGCCTCTGCAAAAAGCTGACAACCCCAACAAGACAACCGCCCAAACCTCCTGCTGATCCGAGAGGCTCCGGCGCGCCCTCGAGGCTGGCCTCGGACGGTAGAGAGCATCTTGGAGCATCTTGGAGAGCCCCAAGAGAGACGTCCCAAGAGCCTCCGAAAGACCCGAGACCCTGGCGGCAATGCGAAGGGCCCCGGTTGCCAGGTCGCTCAGGGCCTCCCAACTCAGTGAGGGGGGGGGGGGTCTGCAACCCATTGGGGGTAAAAGCTTAAGTCGCTTGGCATTGCAGGTTTAGCAAAGACGAAGGCGACGGAGGTTTCAAAAAGAGCCTAGCAATCTCTTCCTGATCCAAACTCCAGTAAATCATCGTGTCCTGAAACTTTAAGAGGAGAAGAAGAGGCTCAGCCTCCCGAAAAATGCCTGGCGAAAGAGCACCCTTCCGAGCCTGCGGCTGCATGAAGTGACCCAGGTCATCGGGATGTCTCCTGGGCACAGAGGAGGCACCGAGATGCACCGGCCGTGGGTTCAAGAGCGTAGGTTCAAGAACGCCCAACTGTGTGCTCTGAGTCCCCGGCAGCGCCCGCTTGGCCGCCGCCTGCACCGCAGGGCCCGCGGCGCCCTGGCGCACGGCGCGCACGGAGCGGAGGACAAAGGCCGTGTCCTGGTTCGGGGCGCCAGGGCTTTGTGCAGCCTTAAGACCCCCCCTCCCCCCTCCCCTCCCAACACCAAACCCCCGCGAATTCAGAGGCCCCACACAGTCCCTTGAACCCAGTAACCGAGGTTAGGCCTTGTGCCCCAGCTGCTCTGCCAGGTGCTCAGGTGCCAAGCCAAACCGATTCCTAAGAAGGGGGGGTGAGAGCGAGGGCTGAAATCTCTTCGAGACCCAAGAACCCTTACTCTCTTGGGTTCAAGGATCTGGGCTTTCCTGCGCTTCTGAGCTTACTTTCCTTCAGAAAAATCAGCTTGCAACATGCCATGTTTGCGGATCGAAGCTGTAGCCTCCAGAAACTTATCACAACTATCGTGTCAATCTAAAGGAATCACATGAGTCTTCTGCTTATTGACCCTTGGAAGGCATGTTGGAACATGAGGCAACAAATAGGCCCTGCACAAAGAGGGTGCGAGAGATACCTGCCCCTAAAGCCCCCAAAGCCCCCAAAGCCCCCAAAGCCCCTAAAGCCCCTAAAGCCCCTAAAGCCCCTAAGGCCCCTAAAGCCCCTAAAGCCCCCAACCCCCCCCAAAAAAAAAAAAAAAAAAAACAAAAAACCCCCCCCCCCCCCGCCCAAAAAAAAAAAAAAATCCAAAAAAAACCCTAAAACCCCACAAAAGCAAACCCAAAAAACAAAATCGGCTCCAGGAACTGCCGGCCCGGATCCGCACCGAGGCGAATGAGGGCAGCGCATGCCTTCCAGGGCGGAAGGGCGTGGCTTCGGGGAATTGTGTGGAATCCAACCGTAATCTAACAGTTTAGGGTTTAGGGTTTAGGGTTTAGGGTTTAGGGTTTAGGGTTTAGGGTTTAGGGTTTAGGGTGTGTCAGGGGAGGGCGCGCGCTCGGGTGTGAAACACCCCGGGCCGCGCACTCGCGTTGCCCGTCAACCCACCCCGGCCACCCAAACTATACTCTATTAGGGTTTAGGGTTTATGGAATTTATTTTCTTGTGCTCTGATGCTTGCTTTGATGTTTTTAAAGTTAGGGTTTAAGCTGGGGTTGGGGGTAGCCTCGGCCCTTTTCGGGCCTTCGGCGTGTCAGGGCCCGTAGAGGCCCTTGCTGACTTGGGGGCTTCCTGGGGCTTTCCTGGTCTTTTGGGGTGAAATGGAGGGGTGCCCAAAACCATCGATTTCAGTACTAAAAAACAACATTTTTCATTGCGGGCAGGGGTGTCTAAGACCATCGTTTTCAATATTCAAAAATCGCATTTTTCGTTGTGGGCACGGACAAATCTTGTGGTCCCCCTTCTTTTAGGGGGCCTTTTGAAGCTTTTGAAGCCTTTTGGTGGCTCTTGGCGCCTCTTGGGGGCTTCCTGGGCTTTCCTGGCGCTTCTGGTGTAAAATGGAGTGGTGCGCAAAACCATCGATTCCAGTATTAAAAAAAAACATTTTCCATTGATGGTACGGCCCTCTTCGCCCGGGGGCCCTTTGGCGCGGGGGGCCTTCCTCTAGCCCTGAACCCGGGCCCTTCCGGCCCTGACCCCCCACCCCTGTTGGCAGGGGTTCTTGACGCTTCGTCGGGGGGCCCTTGTGGTTGGAGGGGGGATGTGAAAAAACCCGTTTTGAATTGAGCGACCGGTATGCCTGGACCCCTCGCCAGCCTCCTGGTCCAGGAATCCAGCTACCAGCCGAGTACTGACGTTGTCGTAAAAAAAGGCTGATGTCCGTTGGCCTGTCCAGGACAGACGGTGAGGCTTAACCCTCACCTTTCCGTTTCTCTTTTTTCGCTTGGGCGCTCGGGCTGCAAGGCCCTCGGCCGAGCGTTCGGGGTCTGTCGCTCGACGGAAGCGACCCCTCACTTAGTTTAGGGTTTAGGGTTTAGGGTTTAGGGTTTAGGGTTTAGGGTTTAGGGTTTAGGGTTTAGGGTTTAGGGTTTAGGGTTTAGGGTTTAGGGTTTAGGGTTTAGGGTTTTGGTTTTCGGGTTTAGGGTTTAGGGTTTAGGGTTTAGGGTTTAGGGTTTAGGGTTTAGGGTTTAGGGTTTAGGGTTTAGGGTTTAGGGTTTAGGGTTTAGGGTTTAGGGTTTAGGGTTTAGGGTTTAGGGTTTATGCCCTGTTGCCGGGGAGGCGCCTCGGTGCGGCCAGCCCTGGCGCCATGGTGCCTTCGGAGGATCGGCTTGAGGAATAGACCCTAAACCCTAAACCCTAAACCCCAAACCCCAAACCCCAAACCCTAAACCCTAGACCCTAAACCCCAGTCTCTTTGCAGGTACGGCGCAGCGGCGTATCGTCGCGCTCGTCCCCGGCGAACAGCAGCGGCCGGCAAGCTGTGAGGCAGGGATTTGGGGTCCACCCCTTCAGCCCCATAGCCTAATAGATAGGTGGTTTTTCTTTTTCTTTTCTTTGAGGGGAGGGAGGGGGGGGGGGGGGACTCTTATCGTATTATTACAAAGGGGCCATAAGGGAACACTATATATTAGTAAATATTCCGGCCCTTTCTAATGCCCAAAAAGTTAGAGCTTCCCGCCTTTGTCCGCGCCGCAGTGCTCCAACCAACTCACCTGACAGAGCTTCGCTGTAGGCCATGCGCTTGCAACTTCTTGGGGCGGATGGAGGCAGTGGTAGAGGAATGTTATTCCAGAACTTTCGACTCTGGAATCCCGAGCCGCCATTGTAGCCTTGGAAGAACCACAGGAACTCGGAATTACGTGTGTGTGTGTGTGACAGGCGAAAGGATTGAGCTCACGTGCTCACTTCCCATGTGAACGGATTAGGGTCAAGTCCGTAGGCTCACGAGAAGGAATTCATACAAGAGCCACAAGCGCAACCAATCTTATCCTCTACGACTCTTACAAAAACTATACATACGCCTACCCAAGATGCCCGTTCAAACCGGTGGCATACACGTTGAACGCAACAGTCTTCGGTTCGCTTGTTTTGCAAAGCACACCTTAATCCAAAGAGTCACGAGTTTTCACCCCCCACCCTGGGTTGATCAACTTATCTCCCTCCGTGCTGCGCCGAGTCTTGTGACGACTCCTACTTTTCTTGTGCTACACAGCTGCCGCTTTCGCTTTCGCAATGGCAAGCGCTGACCACATGAAATGGAAAACCTTCTGCCTGGTACACCAGGTGTGCGAAGACGGTGTTATTTCAGCTCACAACAGATTTTCTCGCCTTCATGCCTCTGTTCAAAACTGTTCAACGTCCTTACCGAGACCACATGTGGGTTTCTCCACCATGGCACTCCAATGAGCAGTGTCATGTTTGAAGTAAGCTTATTCAGCTGTCAGTTGAGCCACGTAACCTAACGCGCTCCTGCCCGAAAGCGCTCCATCTTCCTGATTACGCATCACAGCTTGAAATGCCCAATTTGAGGACATCTTGAAGCAGATTGTTTTGCCGCATGACGTGCGACAAGCGCCGCTCCTAACTAAACCCAAAATGAAGGCAGGACGGACATGCGTCGTTTTGCGACAAAGCGCGACGTGCGCGAAGGCAGTCCAGTCCGCCGAAAACCGGGGGACGGCGCGGGGGGGGCGCATTCTGCACCCGCCCGGCGCACCCCCTCTCCCGCTACGCGCCGGCACCGAAACTCCACTCAGAGGACAAAGATGCGAGCGCCGACGCCGCTTCGTCGGTGGCGAACTCGAGGTCGTCGGCGGCGCGCAGGAGAACGTTCAGGATGTCGTCGCCGGGGAGGTCCAGCCAAGACCAACCCTCCGCCGAGGCCTGGCGGAGGTCGTCTCTGGACACCGCGTCGGAGATGTTGGCCTTCGACGGGACGCGGACGAACTCAGGGAACCAGCAGTGGCGCGCCGCTGAGGCCCAGAAGGCCGAAAGGACGCCGTTGACGGCGTCGTCCTTTCCATACCCTTTGAGGAGCGCCCACTGTCCAGCGGCGTTATCTATGTACGCCGTCCAGAAGCTGGGCAGACGGTCGCCGAACGCCAGCAGCGGCAGGAGTTGGGCGACGATCTCCAGGACGTAGATGAACGCCTTCCTGACGCGAAGCGCCGGAGGAACCACGCCGGGACGACGCCCCTGCTGTAGAAGACCTCGTCGTCGATGACCAGCACGAAGCCCCAGCCGTTGGTCCACCGGTCCGCCGGGCGCGCCTGGGCAGACCGTGGCACGAACCCCGCTTTGTGCACCACGTCGCCCTCCTGGAAGAACGCGTCGGCATAGAGGACGGCTCGTCGAGAGGTGGACGGTTGGAAGGGGATGAACCTCGGCTGCACCCGCCGAAGGATGCCTCTGAGCGCCATCAGCGCGGCGCGAAGGCCCAGCGACAGCCTGTCATCGGAGGCCGCCGCAGCGTCCGCCGACCTGGCGTAGATGGGCTTAAGGGCAGCCTTCCCGAGGGCGCCGAAGATGGCCTGCGTGAGGAAGGCCAGCTTGCCCGCCAAGCGGTGGGCGACGTGCGGCGCCAGCTGGTCAGACGACAGTGCCTCCTCGATGGCGAGCAGGAGCTTCTTCCGGCGCCTTTCCGTCGGGGAGAGCCGGACGCCCTGCGACGTGACCTCGAACAGGACGCCCTGGACTGTGTGCGCCGACTGTGGAGGTTGCGCTTTGGACGCCTTCGTCTTGAGTCCCAGCAAGGAGAAGACGTCGGAGAAGGCGTCGTGCGCGTCCTGGGCGGCCTCGGGGAAGTCCAGGGCGTTGAAGTCGTCGACATAGTGCCCCACCGCCAAGAGGAGCAGGTGGCGCAGCAGCACCTGAAGGGCGTCGCCGGCGCGGTTGAAGTTCCAGACAGACGCCGCGGCGCCGAAGCACATGGCGAGGTGAAACCACAGCGTCACGCCGTGCTCCGTGGCCAGGAAGGTGCCCGAGTGCGCCGGGTGCTTGACTGCCCACTGCCTGTACGCCGACAGAAGGTCATGACCGAGGACCAGCGGCGTGACCCCCCAGGCTCGCGAAGCGACGCGCCAGGTCGACGAAGTCGCCGACGAAGTGGCGCGTCGGGACGTCGGTGGCCTTGACCGTGCTGTTGTGCCCGGACCGCCTCCAGTCCTCGCCTCGGCGCAGCTTCTCGTCGCCGTTTTCGTCGACCTGGATGATGGGGAAGGACGCCGCGACGAAGATGTCCTGGTCCGGCGGCTCGACGAGCATCGTCATGTCCTGGACGTGGGGCAGTGCCACGGTCCTGACCGGCCAGTCCGGCGGGGCCCGGGCCGGGCGGATGACCCGGCCGAGTCGACGCTCCTGAACGAGTTCGGCCAGGAGGGCGTCGGCGTGGGCGCCGGGCCTGGCCATAGGAAGCCTCTTGAACAGGTACTCAGCTCCTGCATCGTGGCCGGGTCGGAGTACCTGTCGTCGTCCCTGGCCTGGCCAGGGCTTGATCTCGCCGAGCATGTCGAAGCCGTCGGAGAGGTCGTCGGAGAGGGACTTGACGTCGGGGTAGCCGGCGTCCCGCAGGAGGTGGAGCAGAAGCGGCACTTGCGTCGGTCTGTCCCTGTCCGGGTGGAGTACGTCGACCGGACTGGGAATGGACGACGTGCCAACCACTCCTTGGTCGTGTCCTCCATGTCCTCGACCATGGACTTGAGCTCCTGGACCACGCCCCGTCTGCGGCGGAGGTCGTGGCGCCACATGCTCGCCACCTTGAGCACCCATTCAAGGGCGGGCTCCAGGGCGTCCTCCGAGATGGTCTCGTCGACGGCGGGTGTCTTGGCTCGTGGCGGGGGGTCCATGGGCCAAAGGGCCGATCCGCGCAGGGTCTGGAGCCACTGCAGTGTCGACGACGACGGCGGTCCCGCCGGTGGGTTCTCAAAAATGCGGCGAATGTCGGTCCTCTCGCGCCAACACGATGGGGCGGAGGCACCGACCGGCGGGCTCATCGCCGAGACGACACGCCGGATTGGAGCACCGGTGGGCGCACCAACCGACGATGAAGCGCCCCGCCGCGGCGTCCTCGCCAGGTATGCGGCCGCCCCAGACGCCCGTCGGCAGCGCCGTGAGGACCCAATAGGGCGCCTCCGCCGCCCTGGGCATGACGGCGCCGTCGGCGGTGGCCTCCTCCCGCCGAACGAGGTCGCCGTACGTCGAGACCAGCAGCCGCGCCAGGTCCGACGAGGGCGCCGGAAGATGCTCCGCCCTGGCGCCGCGACGCTCCACCCTGGCCTTGTAGGCGACGTACTCCTCGCCGTTGGCGGCGATGGCGGCCTCCAGCCTCGCCGCCGCCTGGGCGTTGTCCCGGGTCTCCTGGAGCGCCGCGACGTGGAGCCTGTCCAGCTCCGCGTCTTGGGGCGGCAGCGGCGGCGGCGGCGCCTTGGCGGCGGGGAAGACGGAGGGCGCCGACTTCGACGGCAGCTGCGGCGGCGCCTTCTTCGGCCGCGGGGCCATGGAGGGATCGGACGCCAACTCGGCGTCAATCTGGCGCTGGATCTCCTCCAGGCGTGCCGGCGTCGTGGCCGGCGGGCAGGCGTCGCCGGCGCGTGCCGCCCTGGGCACCGTGGCGAAGCCTTCCTGGCCCAGCTACACGCGCCGATGCTGCAGCCACTCCGCCGCCGATGCGAAGCCGAAGTCCGCCGCCAGGGCCGCCTCAGCCGCGTTGGGGAAAGCGGCCGTCGCCGGGGGTGGCGGGAGTCAGGTCCACCGCCGTGCTCGGCGCCATGGTGATCGTGTCGTTGGAGGCGGGGATCGGCTCCGCGGCGACGACGACGGGCTCCACGGCGTTCGGCGCGACGTTGGTGATCTGGGTCGACGGGAGGTCGCCGGGGATCACCGCCGTCGGCGGGTCGTCGTCGGAGTCGGAGATCTGCGCGACCATGGCGGCGGTGGGGGCGACAACCTCCTCGGAGTCGTCGTCCATGGCCGCCGGGATGAAGGGCCTGCCGCCCGCCGACGACGATGGCGGGCCATAGGAGACCGGCTGGCCAACCGGCGGGAGATCCGCCGGGCCCTCCAGTTCCGGTTCGACGACGTATAGGCGTCGCCAGCCACGGAAGGCGCCGTCGTCGGGGTGGTCGCCGCCGGAGCGGGCGTGGGTGAGGTCGGCAATGGTGGCGGCGGCGCCTTGGCGGGGAAGGAGGAGGGCGCCATCGCCGAAGCCGCCTTAGCCATCGCCGACGTCGAAGAGGAAGATGAGCTGTTCGCCGCCGCCAGCTGCTGGGTCACTGCCGCCGCCTCGGCCCCTCCCAAGTCGCGTAGGTAGGCTGCGACGAGGTGCGGCGGGAGGGGCCTGGACCTCGTCTGGAAGACGAGGGTCGCGTGCGCCGCGACGATGCGCTCGCGACAAGGCAGCGGCAGCGCCGACACCAAGTCCAACGCCGAGGAGTCGTCGCGGAGGACCTCCTCCAAGATCTCGGCGAGGACGGCGATGTCGACGTTGTGTGAAGACATGGCGACGAGGGTCTACACACCAAATAGAGCTGAAAATGGGCGGCTTGCGACGAACAGCTGCGTCGTTCGTCGCATGCTTGTCCTAACGCACATGAATAGTGCTACACAACAACGCGCTGACTGTCATTCGTTGAGCGTTCAAACCGTTCTCGTTTCACCTTAATTAAACCCATTCTGGCTACAGAGGCTCCCTATATAACTCTGCTAATTCCTGGCCTCGTTGGCCGCCGCCGCGCGATGCGCCGCGTGTGCCGCAAAGGGGACCTCGGGCGTGCCGTCGGCCTGGCTTCAGGGCGCCCCGGTTGGGGATTCAGACGGCTCAGGGTGCTTCAGGACTTTGACAATTTAGGGGTTGCTCTTGCTTTGCGGGCTTTAGGACCTAGGCCTTAGGGGTTTCGGCATTTATAGGGTTGGCTTTAGAGGCAACGAACTCGGAAAGCGCCTCCACCATTCACTTCACCCGCAACATCACCAACCCAACACACAAGATCAAAGCCTCGCAAGGGTCGCAAGACTATTTGTCCGAGGCTAAACCCTAAACCCTAAACCCTGAACCCTGAACCCTAAGCCCTAAGCAGTAAACCGTAAGCCCTGAGCATTAAACCATAAACAGTAAACATTAAACCATAAACCCTAAACCCTAAACCCCTAAAGCCCTAAACCCCTAAACCCCTAAACCCAAGTTGGGGGGGCTTTAGAGTCCACACACTGCCTTCCGGAGACGCTCCAGCGCCGCCCGGAGTTGCGGGCTGCGCTCGCTGGGCAGAAGCCTGAAGATCATCAGGGATTCGTGGCTAGGGTTTAGGGTTTAGGGTTTTAGGGGGTTTTAGGGTTTTTAGGGTTTTAGGGTTTCAAGAGGGTTTGTAGGGTTTTTAGGGTTTTTAGGGTTTTTAGGGTTTGTAGGGTTTGTAGGGTTTGTAGGGTTGTAAGGGTTGTTAGGGTTTTTAGGGCGTTTAGGGTGTTTAGGGTGTTTAGCGTGTTTAGGGTGCTTAGGGTGCTTAGGGTGTTTAGGGTGTTTAGGGTGTTTAGGGTGCTTAGGGTGTTTAGGGTTTAGGGTTTAGGGTTTGGGACTGAGGGGGGGGGGTGGTGGTAGCATGAAAAGAATCGCCAAAAAAAGTTCACCCAAAGCCTCACAGCCCAGCAACACAGCGTGCTGGCAGTGCCGCCGGGGAGGGGTGAGCTCCTCACAGGCCAAGGCGCCATGGTTGCCAAGGGAAAAAATCTCGCGAGGTGCGATTCATGGTCCCTGAGTTTCATCAACCCTAAACCCTAAACCCTACACCCTACACCCTAAACCCTAAACCCTAAACCCTAAACCCTAAACCCTAAACCCTAAACCCTAAACCCTAAACCCTAAACCTGGGAGAGGTGGTACAGGAACCCGAGGACGAGCGCGGCGGAGGCGAGGGCAGTGAAGGTGTACCTGGGATTGGCAGGGGAGGTACAGGGAATTCAGGTCTTTACATCCTTTTTAGAGTGTCTTGTTTACCCCTAAACCCTAAACCCTAAACCCTGAACCCTAAACCCTTAACCCTAAACCCTAAACCCTAAACCCTAAACCCTGAACCCTAAACCCTAAACCCTAAACCCTGAATCCTAAACCCTAAACCCTAAACCCCAGATTCGTTTGGGGGCTTTTAGAGTTTGAAGGGTTTCACGGATCTCTCCGATCAGCCAGGGCACACCACCTCGGGTGGCAGGCCCACCTTAGACAGCTCTGGGCTAGCCCACGAGGGTTTAGGGTTGAGGGTTCAAATTCTAGGCCCGAAACCCCGGAACTTGACATCTCTAAGCCCAGCTCTTCACCCATATAAGCCCTGCACCTTACAGCCCACAAAACCCCAAAAAGCCCGAAACTCCGAAACTCCGAAGAAGCGGGGTTTAGACAACAGGAAAGGGTCTTCTACACAACGGAGAGTTGGTCTACAGAGGGCTTCCACCCTAAACCCCAAACCCTAAACCCTAAACCCTAAACCCCAAACCCTAAACCCTAAACCCTAAATCCTAAACCCTAAACCCCAAACCCTGAACCCTAAGCCCTAAATCTGGCCCGGCCGCCACCGGAACCGCCGGGTCTGGGGTCACCTCCTGGGCTTCGCGGAAGCCCCGGAAGTGGGGAGGCGCCTGGCATGTTTGGGGTTTAGGGTTTCGGGTTTAGGGTTTCGGGTTTCGGGTTTCGGGTTTAGGGTTTAGGGTTTAGGGTTTAGGGTTTAGGGTTTAGGGTTTAGGGTTTAGGGTTAGGGCTTAAGGTTTAGGGTTTAGGGTTTTCGGGTTCATGGTTCAGGGCTTAGGGTCGAGGGCTTAGGGTTTCGGGTTCAGGGTGTAGGGTTTGGGGTTCAGGGTTTTGGGTTTAGGATCCTAGGGTTTGGTTGCGGGTGTGGGGGGAGTCTTTCATCGGCACTTCGCTCAACGGGGTCCCAAGATTAGGGTACCTAATTGAGGGTTTCTGAGCCGAAGGATTATACCATTTTGAGGGTCTATGGGTACCCCTTATTGCGGGATGTGAGGTCTAGGGTTTAGGAAGTCTCGCCTGACCTAGACTAAACTCGAAGGGCCTGTGGTTTGGAGGGTGCATGTCGGGTTAGGGCTTACAAGGTTCGGTTGGTGCATGGGGCTGGGGTAAGAGGCTCCGAACCTTAAGATCCTTCATAAAAATACTTGTTCATATTCCCGTGGGCTTTATGCAACTAGCATCTTTCCTAGGAGGCCTACGGAAAAATCGAAGGTGCGTGTCTGTGTTGGCGGATTTCGGTGGGCTGAGGGTTCGCTACGTCCAAGAGGATGGCCTTGGGGGCACTTGATGCGCGACCCGGGTTTAGGGTTTAGGGTTTAGGGTTTAGGGTTTAGGGTTTAGGGTTTGTGGTTTAGGGTTTAGGGTTTAGGGTTTAGGGTTTAGGGTTTAGGGTCTCCACCCGCACAGCCGATGGCCAAGCCATCCACAGGGGAACCTAGGCCCTAAACCCTAAACTCCAAACCCTAAACCCTAAACTCTAAACCCAAACCCCAAACCCCAAACCCTAAACCCTAAACCCTAAACCCTAGAACTGCGCCCGAAAGCTATCGGATTCAAGGTTGGACTCCAATTGCCGACCCCAACCTTTCCCATAGGCTTTTGTTCTAGCCCCTAAACCCCAAACCCTAAGCCCTAAGCCCTAAGCCCCAAACCCTAAACCCCAAACCCCAAACCCCAAACCCCAAACCCCAAACCCCAAACCCCAAACCCTAAACCCTAAACCCCAAACCCTAAACCCTAAACCCTAAACCCCAAACGTTGGGAAAAGCTTTGGCAGCTTGGGGATGCTTCGGGTCCTGGGACCGAGCTGCCCACGAAGCAGCGGACCACCTCTTGCCGTCCTGGGGGATTTTCCGGGGGGGGGTGGGGGGGGATTAAGGGGGGATGAAGGGGGGATTAAGGGGGGATTAAGGGGGATTGAGGGGGGGGGGATTAAGGGGGGATTAAGGGGGATTAGGGGGGATTTGGGGGGGGGGGGAATTTTATAAAGCAAATAACTCACAGGGGCAAATCTCATCTCGAACGATTGCATGCCGAGCCAGAGGACCAAGACTCTGCCAAACACCTGCGCGGAACTCCTCCGACTTACCATGGGCTTGGGTGTAGGGACCCCGCAAGCCCCCTCCTTCTAAATTCCACCAAATCCCCCAAAAACCTAAACCCCAAACCCTAAATCCTAAACCCTACGCCGTAAAGAGCCTCAAGTTTTGCTACGTCTTTGAAACACCTTTGCCGCGAGCCCAACTTTCCGCACAAGGAATCCCTCACAAAAAGCACAAGGGCTGTTTCAAGGCCAGCTTTCACAATAAGACCGCCATCAGTAGTTCACTTTTACAACGAGTAGGTAGGATCTATGCGCTCAACCTGAACCCCACGCCCCATAAGCGCTATCGTTAAGCAGCTCCTCGAAGGAGAAGTCTACGCCTGGGCACGCACATCAGCGGAAGGGGTGGGCAACCAGCTGCTACGTGTTGCTTCAACTTAGGCATCCAGCCTTGACAACTTCAAAGTTTACGTGAGCCAGCTATCAAATTTACTTTTGCTGTATTTGGTGCATGTGAAAAATTCTTGGTAGCAAAGTGTGATTTACAGAGTCATCTATTTCATTGACTGCTTTGCACAAACCATTAAGTCTGACAAATCACCAACCGTTGAAACATGTACTGTCATGATGAAAACATCACAACCTTCGAATGAAATCAATCTGAACAATGTTTTCACTGCATGTGTTATGCATCTGGTAATCAAACATCATTGTCAACTTCAAGAAGCAACAACGAATTTATTAGACACATATAAGGTGGCAAGTTTGGCAATCCACAAAATGCGTTCACAAGCAGCAAAGTACTTTTTGGGAAATCTGCGTAATGCTTTTGCTACAACAATTGTGCTTCAAACATGGTTGCATTACAAACAAGACGGGCGGAGCTGTTGTGGCTAAACTTTACGAGCACTCCAGACGCGGCGTGCAGTTGCAGCCAGAAATTCGAAGAACAAAATTCGGCCTCCAAGTAATGAACCCTAAACGCTAAACCCTAAACCCTAAACCCTAAACCCTAAACCCCCTGTAAGCTCCTCTTTCTTTGAGATTTGTTGCCACCTCGCCGGTGCAAGCATCCTGAGGACCCCAAATCCAGCAACCACAAGGACAAAGCTAAGACTCGTTTAGGGTTTAGGGTTTCGGGTTTAGGGTTTAGGGTTTAGGGTTTAGGGTTTGGGGTTTGGGGTTTAGGGTTTAGGGTTTAGGGTTTAGGGTCGTCCCCAAGCTGAATGAAAGGCATGACCTCTGATCCAAACTCCCTCGGAAACTTCGGCAATACTTGGCGCCAGGTTCGACATCCTACATCACGCCGCGCCCGAAACTCATTCGAATAAACCCTAAACCCCAAACCCCAAGCCCTAAACCCTACACCCTTAACCCTAAACCCCAATTCCTAAACCCTAAACCGTAAACCGGTCTGCACAGCCTTCGCGAGCTCTCCGGCACTCCGGCTCCTGCAGGAGCTTCTGCGCCTGGCACAGGCTTCGGACGCGTCGGCTTCTTCCTAAGAGCTCGTGCAGTACATGGGGGCTTCTGACATAAGACCTTATTGGGGTTTAGGGTTTAGGGTTTAGGGTTTAGGGTTTAGGGTTTAGGGTTTAGGGTTTAGGGTTTAGGGTTTAGGGTTTAGGGTTTAGGGTTTAGGGTTTAGGGTTTAGGGTTTAGGGTTTAGGGTTTAGGGTTTAGGGTTTAGGGTTTAGGGTTTAGGGTTTAGGGTTTAGGGTTTAGGGTTTAGGGTTTAGGGTTTAGGGTTTAGGGTTTAGGGTTTAGGGTTTAGGGTTTAGGGCTTCCGAAAAAAGGGGTACCTGTATTGGGGTCCTTATTACGGGGGATGCTACTATGTGGGGGTCTATATTAAGGGTCCTGTAATTTCGTAAGCCCCCACATGACACATGAAGCTTTATCCCTGGTCACAGGTTCTTGGTTGGTTTCGTGGCACTTTCCTTTACTTCGTGCATCTCTTCTCTTCTCGCGTAAACCAATCTCGAAAAGACCGCTTACACATCGCCCTCGATCAAGGAGAGATGTTGATATTGTCCGTCCCACCGGCGAGATTATTGCCAACCTCATAGCTCTGGAAATGAACCTGTCTGTGAAGGTTTAGTTTAAGGTTTAGGGTCTGTGTAGGTTAATGAACCTGTCCGTTCAGGCTTAGTTTCAGGTTTAGGGTTCTTGTAGGGCTTAGGGTGTGGGGCTTAGGGTTTATGGCGGATCTTAGGATCTCCCGGTAGTTCCCAGGGTGCACATCCTCAGGGTGTTGCGGTTTACCCCAAACCCCAAACCCTAAACCCTAAACCCTAAACCCTAAACCCTGCGTGCCTAGGAAGAAAAAGCTGGGAAGCTTCCGCGCTTTCTCCGGGCCTCCTCGAAATCGGCATTCAGCTGAGCAAAAGCCTCCAGGGCTTTGCAGGCATTTGGGCTTTTCATGAGTGTTGGTGCTAGGCTTTTCATGAGTTTTGGGTTTGGCCCGTAGGCTTTGTAGAGCTTCTTGAGGGTTGTCATGTTGCGGAAAGTTGCGCAAGGGACACACGCTTTCCGGTCCAAAGTGCCGCGGTCGGTTCGAATGGGTTCTGCTGCTTCGCTCACATCATTACGTTCCAATGAAAGACAACCAATGCTACGCAACGGTTTCCAACAGCCTGGTTTAGGGTATAGGGGTTAGGGTTTAGGGTGTAGGGGTTAGGGTTTAGGGTTAAAGCTACACAACGGTTTCCAACAATTTTTGGCTGCTGCGGGCAAGTGAGCACCGCGATGGCGTTGACTTTGGCATTGGGTCGGGCTGCCAGGCCAATGCCTTCCTCCGTGTTTCCCAAAACCCGAAACGCTACACCCCAAAACCCTAAAACCCCTAAAACCCCAACCCCAAAGCCTAAAACCCTAAACCCTAAACCCTAAACCCTAAACCCTACAATCCTACACAACTTTCCCGAAAGCCACAAAGAACCTTCCAAGCAGTGCCATAGGGTGTTTGTTAGCCGCGAAGGTACAAGTTGAGGGTTCCGGCGGCTTCGGGATGAGCAGGGTTTTAGGGTTTAGGGTTTAGGGTTTAGGGTTTAGGGTTTCGGGTTTCGGGTTTCGGGTTTCGGGTTTAGGGTTTAGGGTTTAGGGTTTAGGGTTTAGGGTTTAGGGTTTAGGGTTTAGGGGCTGCGGGCTTCGGGCTTAGGGCTTAGGGTTTCGGAATGTTCCAGGGCTTGAGAGGCCTGTGCGCCACAGCTGCTCGGATTACGGTCCGGATGCAGCAGCTTCGCCTCCCTTGGGCTTGTGTTGGGTTCAGGGTTTAGGGTGTAGGGTTTAGGGCTTAGGGTTTAGGGCTTAGGGTTTAGGGCTTAGGGTTTAGGGTTTAGGGTTTAGGGTTTAGGGGCTTCGGGCTTCGGGCTTAGGGCTTAGGGTTTAGGGTTTAGGGTTTAGGGTTCAGGGTTCAGGGTTTAGGGTTTAGGGTTTAGGGTTTAGGGTTTAGGGTTTAGGGTTTAGGGTTTAGGGTTTTAGGGTTAGGGTTTAGGGTTTAGGGTTTAGGGTTTAGGGGTTAGGGTTGAGGGTTTAGGGTTTGAGGCGTGGGTACTTGGGTGAAGCTGGCGCTTCGGGGCTTGACTTGTCCCTAAGTCTTACGAGCCCCTCCACTTTTTCTAGGGCTTATGGGCGAGGGGTTTATCAAACCCTAAACCCGACACCCTTAACCCTAAGCCCGAAACCCGCAACCCTAAACCCGAAACCCTAAACCCCAAACTTTACAACCTAACCCAGACTGCTGAAGAGGAATTCGCCTGAAGTAGGCTTTGCGCAGCTCCACAGCGGTCGTCTCTGGAGGTAGCCGGAAGCGCTTCAACCTTTAGGACACCGCGATGCAGGGCCTAAAGCCCGTTTAGGGTTTAGGGTTGAGGGTTGAGGGTTGAGGGTTGAGGGTTGAGGGTTGAGGGTTGAGCTGAGGGTTGAGGGTTGAGGGTTGAGGGTTGAGGGTTGAGGGTTGAGGGTTGAGGGTTGAGGGTTGAGGGTTGAGGGTTGAGGGTTGAGGGTTGAGGGTTGAGGGTTCTTTGGAAAGGCCAGGGGACAGCTGTGTGAGCCGCGACATCAGCGAACTCGCCGTCCATGGCACAGGACGGCTGCACTAGGGTGTTTCAGTTGGGAATACACCCAAGAAAACTTCAACAAGCCCACGTACCAAAACAATACCAAGCAAGCCTCCGTTCCTCCGACTTGTGAGGATCACCTACTCTGAAACCATGCAGGCACTGTTGCTACTCCAGGGCATTCCTCATGCTAACTTGCATCACAAGCAGCCCAAACCATCCCAAAGATACAGCAAAATGGCTAAGGACGTGAATTCGCCAAGACAGCTGGGAGGTTGGCTTGGAAGCCGCCATCCTTTAAAGAAAGCGTAACAGCTTGCTAGTCTATTCGCCGATTTGCGCCGAAAAATTGAACGGGCTAAGTTGTGCACCAAAAAACCGTGGATGATTTTTCGTATACGAATAAAGAATGTATTGCGACACCGAGCCCCTTGGCAGAATGATGAGATTTTTTGTTGGAGAATCATGAGGAGAAAGGGTCTATCTAACCACAAGACTTGGCGAAAGCGATGGTGTCGGTGGCTGACAAGGAATAAGGTCTAAAGACAACATTCGCAACGAACCGTTAGGTTAAGGCACGCCGCCGCAAGAGCTGTGGATGCAGCCTTCCTTGCAGACCTCCAGAAATAAGATGGATATAGATCGATCATCACCCCAGACCTCTTGTTAGCCTAAACCCTAAACCCTAAAACCCTAAACCCTAAACCCTAAAACCCTAAAACCCTAAGCCCTTAACCCAGACCTCTCGCCTGCAGACCTGGCGCACAAACTAGCGTTCCCCCACGTTCCCTATACTATACTTTCCCAGAATACGAAACACGAAAATAACATCCTTCCAGTCGTGAAAACGGCCAGTTCTCTGCCCAACTCCGGGCGCCGGTCTCGCGTTAACCTACTGCAATGGACACTGGGAGCTGCGCGGCCGTTTCAAACCCCGAGCTTCTGCTTCTCCTTCGTTTGGGACCTCTTGACCATGATAAACTCCCACTTGCGACTTAGGGGCAGTTTTTGTTGCGGGCGCCGGCTGTTGTAACAGGGGGGCTGAGACGCGAGAATCTGGTCGAAGCTGTATGGCTGCTGTATGGCCTTGAACCTTGAAGCCTTAACAAAAGTAGAACAAGAGTTTTCTAACAGAGTTCAACCACAATTGAAAAAAGATAGTAGAAAGATGGGGAAGTTTCTACTCAGAAGGGGGAAGAGCCGGTGGGGTGGCGCGCCTCCGACCGGAAAAGGTCTCGCTGAACTCGCCGCAGGAGCAGGCTTCGGAATCTGCCTCAAACAAAGACTTTTCGGAATCCGCCTTCTTTCTTGTTTGTTTGGGGGTGATGGTTTGGGAGGGGTGTTTGGGGGTGTGTTGGGTGAGTGGTTAGGAGGGAGCCCAACTGCGCCCACTTTGTGAGTGTATGGGTAGCTATTCAAGTCATGGGTGCGAAGCAGCTCCACGCGAAATGGACGACTTCCCTGCATAGACAGCACACACAAGCCCACAGTCTTGTTTTGCCAACAAGCAGGGATAAGATGCGGCGTCATCATCGTGCGCCATGAAGCCTTGCAATATTTTTCTGAATCAGGAGCTGGTGATTGGGCACACCAGACTCTACAAGTCTATACACGTCAAGGGCAATCTGTGATGATGCAGAGCTGCCCTTCAACTCTGCGTTCCTTACCCGGGCTGTTGCCGGCTAAAGCTGGAATTGTGCTGATCAGGCTAGGACTGCACTGGGCTCTGCTGAGTTCTTGCCCCCTGCTCAATGACCACCTCATCAGAAGCGGTTGCTTGGCAACTCTGGCAGGACAGCCAGCCCCAGTTCTTTTCGGTGAAGGCGTTCACATTCGTGCGGGCTGCGCCAGCAGCGCTTGCCGCGTGGTCCGAAGCGGTTTGGAGGTACGGTGCTGAGGCCTCCGCCACCTGTTGGGCACCTTGGCGGGCAGCTTCTGTTGCCCTCTGGAACCATGGCATGGAAGCGTCGGCCATGTCCTGAAGACCCTGGCGAGCCTTCTCGATGTAGGGCGCCGAGGCATCAGCTGCGTCCTGGGCACCTTGGCGAGCCTTCTCCATGTATGGCGCCGAAGCAGCAGCCACATTCTCGGCACCCTGGCGAGTGGCTGCTGATGCCTTCTCGAGGTACGGTGCCGCTGCGTCAGCCGCATCTTTGGCACCCTGGCGAGCCTTCTCGATATAGGGTGCCGAGGCATCACATGCATCTTTAGCACCTTGGCGAGCTTTCTCGACATACGGGGCCGATGCATCAGCCGCATCCTTGGCACCTTGGCGGGCTTTTTCGATGTAGGGCGCCGACGCGTCAGCTGCGTCCTTGGCACCTTGGCGAGCCTTCTCCATGTACGGCGCCGAAGCAGCAGCCACATTCTCGGCACCCTGGCGAGTGGCCGCTGATGCCTTCTCGAGGTACGGTGCCGCTGCATCAGCCGCATCTTTGGCACCCTGGCGAGCCTTCTCGATATAGGGTGCCGAGGCATCACATGCATCTTTAGCACCTTGGCGAGCTTTCTCGACATACGGGGCCGATGCATCAGCCGCATCCTTGGCACCTTGGCGGGCTTTTTCGATGTAGGGCGCCGACGCGTCAGCTGCGTCCTTGGCACCTTGGCGAGCCTTCTCCATGTACGGCGCCGAAGCAGCAGCCACATTCTCGGCACCCTGGCGAGTGGCCGCTGATGCCTTCTCGAGGTACGGTGCCGCTGCATCAGCCGCATCTTTGGCACCCTGGCGAGCCTTCTCGATATAGGGTGCCGAGGCATCACATGCATCTTTAGCACCTTGGCGAGCTTTCTCGACATACGGGGCCGATGCATCAGCCGCATCCTTGGCACCTTGGCGGGCTTTCTCGATGTAGGGCGCCGACGCGTCAGCTGCGTCCTTGGCACCTTGGCGAGCCTTCTCCATGTACGGTGCGGAAGCATCCCACGCATCGTTGGCACCTTGGCGGGCCTTCTCGATGTAGGTTGCCGAGGCATCCGCCGCGTCCTTGGCACTTTGGCGAGCCTCCTCGGTGTAAGGTGCGGAGGCGTCGGCCACATCCGTGGCCACATCTGTGGCCACTTCCCGCGCTGCCGTAGCTGCATCCGCCGCTGCATCCAGTGTCTTCTCAGCCACCTCTTGAGCACCCTGGCAGGCTGCCTCTGTCGCATTGCCTGCCGAATCCGAGGCCTTCTCAACGTAGGGGGCGGTGGCGTCAGCCACCTTGTGGGCACCCTCCTGGGCTGCTGCTGCCGCTGCGCCTGCAGCGTCGGATGCCTGCTGAAGGCCAGCTTCGGCCTTTGCGGCGGTCTGCTTGGCCTCTCCCTGGGCCTGCTGCCTGCTCTTCTTGGAGAGGAGAGTTGGAAGACGCATGGTGAAGGGGAGACGCAGGGGGAGGCTTAATGGATCTAGCAAATGCCTTGAACCAGCAAAAATGGCCTGCTGATGCTGCTGATGCAAGCTGCAAGCTCAAAAACCACCACCAAAAGCTACCATGCCACATGGTGGGGACCGGGTCTTCTGTACAGCAACTCAGCGAATCAACATTGCCTGTATGGAGCCCGCATATGGAATCACACCCCTGTCCCGTGTAGAGCTCCGCTGGCTGCCTACGTGGATCCGAAGGGGATCTTACGAATCTCTGCATAATCCCTGAGACATCACTTGTAGCCTTGCCTTCACCTTCAGAAAACCTTGCCCAAACCTAAGCCCCAAACTGCTCAAAGGGAACTCGCCTGCAGCAGGCTTTGCGCCGCTCCCCGGCGGTCGTCTCTGGAGGTAGCCGGAAGCGCTTCAACCTTTGGGACTCAGGGATGCGGGGCTTGAAGCCCTTTTAGGGTTTAGGGTTTAGGGTTTAGGGTTTAGGGTTTAGGGTTTAGGGTTTAGGGTTTAGGGTTTAGGGTTTAGGGTGTAGGGCTTAGGGTTCAGGGTTTAGGGCTGTAGGGCTTCAAAAAAACATGTTGTTTTGCGGTATTCGCCTCAACCTCTGGCCGACAAGCCTCTGCCACAGGAAAACTTCAACAAGTCCTCCTACTAAGGCAACACCAAACAAGCCTCGGTTCCTCGGACTTGTGGGGATCGCCTGCAAGCTTGAGCGTGGCGTCTCCCAAACCATGCAGGCACTGTTGCTACTCCAGGGGCATTCCTCATGTTACCTTGCATCACAAGCATCCCCAGACCATCCCAAAGACACCGCATGATACAGCGAAATGGCGAAGGACGTGAGCTAGCCGAGAGTTTGCTGCAAACCCTCTTCTGCTCGCGGCTTTGTTCAACCCTCTGCCGCAGCAAGTCCAGGGCTGGGACGACGGTTGTGGTGAGGGCGGCTGCTTCGAGCAGGGCGGCTGCCAGTTCCCCAACCCCCTGGACGTGACGGGTTTGGCTCATGAGCAAGCTTTTCGTGAGTCCAGCGCCCGGACAGCTGCGCGTGCGGCCCGCGCAGCTGCCTGAAAGCAACTTGCATGGCCCGTGCTGATCTTGAGCCAAGAACTTATACATATACACATGCAAGGTCTGAATCTACACATTTAGGGTTTAGGGTTTAGGGTTTAGGTTTAGGGTTTAGGGTTTAGGGTTTAGGGTTTAGGGTTTAGGGTTTAGGGTTGCTTCTATTCATCTGGCCACAGGTGAGTGGGGGCTGGGCACCGGCCCGCAACCTCGGATTGCGGCTCGGGCTTGGCCCTCAATTTCCAGCCTGACCGAACCACCACAACACGCCGAGCTACAATTTAGGGGTTTAGGGGGTCTAGAGTTTAGGGTTTAGGGTTTAGGGCTGAGGGTTTGGGGTTTAGGGTTTAGGGTTTAGGGTTTAGGGTTTAGGGTTTAGGGTTTAGGGTTTAGGGTTTAGGTTCAAGCGCGCCATCAAGTCAAAGCTTCTTTTTGTCTAGGGCCGGCAGTCCTTTGCCTTGGCAATTTCAGCCAAGGCACGTCGTGGTCACAATCTCAGAAAATCTCAGAACGCAGAGGGATCCTTCACTTCGAAACCTCAGCAACCTTCCATAAACCCTACACCCTACAGCCTAAACCCTTAACCCCAAACCCTAAACCCTAAACCCTAAACCCTGGGAGGCATCCTCTCTGCAAGCTGTTGGGGATGCCCTCCTTGGGAGGGGCTCCCCCCAGGAGATTGTCGAGGACCCCGGCAGAGGACGCACAAGACACGCTGTTTGGTTCTAAACCCTTTAGGGGTTTAGGGGTTCAGGGGTTTAGGGTTTAGGGTTTAGGGTTTAGGGTTTAGGGTTTAGGGTTTAGGGTTTAGGGTTTAGGGTTTTCTTATCTTCTTTTCTTGTGCTCGTTTCGTTCGGTCGCTCATGAGATTCATGCATTGGCGAGCTCATTTATAATCTTATTGCTCTCTCTCTCTCTCTCTCTCTCTCTCTCTCTCTCTCTCTCTCTCTCTCTCTCCACCATTCTATTATTCCATTTCGCATTCATTCACACATTGCCAACATTCCTTTCGTACTGCGTTCGTATTATTCTAGCGGCTTTCACGCTTCGTAAACTACATTGTAAAGCCGCACAATAATACGGGCCAGTAAAAAGAACTATAATTTGGCCCGTACTTCGTTCATGCGTGCACTGCGTTCGCTCAGTCAATTCGCTTATTTGTTCACCTACTCACTTCGTTCTATTATTAGGAGAGAGTGAGAGAAGCGAACGGCGGTTTCGTTCATTACATTAACAATATTCGTGCACTTCTTTACAATATTATTACTGTAATTCTCTTCACTTAATATATTATGGGGGCTTACGAAGAAATTATATTATGCCCCGAGTAATAATACTATTGACAGGACCCGTGAGCTCAGTCATTACCTTACAGCCTTTTTCCCCTCGCTTTCTAGGAGTTCTTCAATCTCTGGTTCTTGTGCGCTCACTTTGTTCACGCTGTATTAGTATTAATTGTGTTCACTTCACGGGCCTTTATTAGTATTATTATGCCCGTGAGCTCACGATACTGTAATATACTATTATCCTGGGCTTATTTAGTTATCTTATTTGCCCGGGGTTGTAGTATAAAGTGAAAGGCATGAACTCCGTGAACAACAGGATCACCAGGCCCTAAAGCCCTAAACCCCTAAACCCCTAAACCCCAAACCCCTAAACGCCTAAAGCCCTAAAGCCCTAAACCCCTAAACCCCAAACCCCCTAGACCCCTGAACCCCTAAACCCCTAACCCAAAGCCCGGTTCAGGGCTCAGGGTTCAGGGTCGGTTTTAGGGTTTAGGGTTTAGGGTTTAGGGTTTAGGGTTTAGGGTTTAGGGTTTAGGGTTTAGGGTTTAGGGTTTAGGGTTTAGGGTTTAGGGTTTAGGGTTTAAGGCTTCGGGATTACGGGACATGTCTGAACCCTGGGCTTAGCCTCTTGCGCCCCATCTGCTTTGTGCCTCGCCGGCACGGGCGGACAACGTCCGCAAGCTAGCGTTCAAAAAGGTGCCCTGTGGGCTACCCCGCAAACCCTAAACCCTAAACCCTAAACCCTTTCCCGAAACCCCACACCAACCTAGAACTCCAGAACGAAACCTTTCTGACATCCTGGATTCGTCCTACAAAAATACTCGCAACCACCACCCAGACCCTAGGCTGCGATCGTGATCCTCCCAAGGGTCGCCTGTGCCACCTGCTTTGGGTGTCGTTTCAGGTACATGAGCACCAGGTCCTTCCACAAAACTTCGGAGAGTTCGGGGGGTGTTCAGTCGAGCCGGTTCTGGGATTCGGGAATTGAGGGCTTTGCAGATTGATGACGTTTTTAGGGTTTGGGGTTTAGGGCAGAGGGTTTAGGCAGGGTTCAGTTCTGGGCTCGGGGAGTCCTCCCACACCACAGCTTCGAATGTCGCGTGGCCCACATGTCGTCCCCCATTGAACTTCCATGAGCCCCCAAACCTTAAAATCCTGGGGTTTAGGGTTTGGGGTTTAGGGTTTAGGGTTTAGGGTTTAGGGGTTAGGGTTTAGGGTTTAGGGTTTAGGGCTTAGGGTTTAAGGTTTAGGGTTTAGGGTTTTTTTGGGTGTAGGGTTTAAGGTTTAGGGCCCCAAACCCTGAGGTCCTGTATCTGCATCCCTGACTCTGTGTCCACGATGCGCTCCGCATCGGCCATCCAAGTGTAACCAAACTTTCCTAGGGCCATGTTCTCCGTCACGGCCACCTTGTGAAAGCGTCTCTGGCGTCTTGCTTCTGAGGGGGCTGTTTATGCACGACCTCCAAGCAAACGAAAGGTATGGTTGCAGGGAAAAGCTGCTCACGCTGGAACTCCGAACCATCGTAGCAACTTATTTGGCTCTGCACTTCGCAGCGGCATGCAACCAACAACAGCCACTTCCGTGTGAGGATGTTCTTGCAGGTGGCTCTTCGAAACAGGAACAACGAGCAAGCAAGCACAACGGCTCACCAAGAACTGCACACAAACTGTGAAGACTAATCTCGGAATGCGAACCTGAAACCTGAGAGACGGCCTCATAGAGCTTGTCCGGCTGAATCGGCTTGCCCTTGACTTTGACGTCCGCTACCTGGTGCAGCTGGTGCACTTCTCAACTACCTGGAACCCATCGTCAGAACCCCCACAAGCCCAGAGAGCACCTCGATCAAAGCAGAAGCTCCTTATGGGTGATGGGATGCTCTTAAGGGGTCTGTGCAGTTGCTCCAGAATCTGCGGACCTGGTTGGCCAGCTTGCCCTTGCCCATCTTGATCTTGTAAGTCAGGGCCGCGCTGGTGTGATGCAGCGACCCGCACTCCTAACAGTCCCGAAGATGTCTTCAGGGCTGTTAGGGCTTGGCTAAAGGCTTTTTGGCTGCAACATTCTTGCTGTGTTTGCTTTTGGAGCTCGGTTTGTGTGGAAAATCGCACTTGAATCATACAAGATTTTGCTATGAGCAGCGACACGAACCGCAACAAGCACAAGAGCCCACGCACAACACGCACCCACAAACAACAACGACCAGGAAGCAAAAAGGAACAACACAGACACACCCAAGGGCACAATCTGGAAGCCCCAAAAACTTCTGAAGGCCAAAACCCCAAAACCCTTGAGGCCCACTCCAACAGACAAAAACCAGAGAGTCTGAAACACCGATGTCAGTCACACTTTGGCGGCTAAGAGACAGGGTTTTGGGTTCAGGTCTAGGGTTCAGGGCAGTATGGTACCATCCTACATACCTGCCCCTCCTCGATCTGCATTGCAAGTTCTCGCCCCATGCATAGCAGAGATTCTCTTCTTGCCAGTAGGGTTTAGAGTTTAGGGTTTAGGGTTTAGGGTTTAGGGTTTAGGGTTTAGGGTTTAGGGTTTAGGGTTTAGGGTTTAGGGTTTAGGGTTTAGGGTTTAGGGTTTAGGGTTTAGGGTAGTCATGTTTGGGACAAGCCTTCGTGACATGCTCTGCATGGGTTAATACAAAAAATTACTCTGAATGGCTCGGCGTAGCACAGGGAGTTAGGTTTACGTGACTAACTCCCTGAGATGTTAGTCCAACGGTACAAAGGTCCGGTTGATGAAGCCTATGTCCGCTAAACCACTGCCGCCGGTGGCAAAGTCAAACATGTGTGCGCAAAAGTCTTGGCAGTTGTGCACCGATGTGGTAGGGGATGTTGTTCAGGCTGTCAGCAAAATGCAGCAACTCTGCTCTGCTTCTGATGCATCGCGGATTGTCTTTCCAACCTCAAAATCCCGGAGAGTCCTTGGGGAGGAAGGAGCAGCCACGCTCCAACGACTTCACGACGTCGGAGCCCTTGAGCTTCAGAACCACGATCTGAAAGGGAAAGCGAGGCGATGGTCGGGGTCTGGGGGTTGATGAGTTTAGGGTTTAGGGTTTTAGGGTCTAGGGTCTAGGGTTCAGGGTTCAGGGTTCAGGGTTTAGGGTTGAGGGTTTAGGGGTGGCTATTTTTTGGAGGTTTTTATGGTGGTCCACTCCGCTTCGGGGCAACCTCGAAAGGGTCAGTGCCGCTCAAGCTTCCCACACCGAAAGGCACGTCGCCTGGCACGGCTTCGGGAAGATGCTCATCAGGCTGCCCAAGGTGAAGTCCCCGGCGGGGAAGACCTCCGAGTCGGGTTGAAAGGGGGGGTGCTTTTGTTGCGGTCCTTGGGGTGTAGGGGTTAGGGCTTATAGGGTGTTTCCTTCTAGACAGGGCCCACACCTAAATTTGAACTCACCCCCCCCCCCTTTTCCCGGATGCTTGTTTTTTTTTGAGCCTTCTTGCCGGCGAAGTGGAGGCCCATCAGCATCGCGAAGTCGGCAGATTGGAGCCCATCCTTCTCGGAGTAGTCTTCTGCGACGGCGTCGCAGATCCAGTTCGTCATCACACCCTCCTGGTACCTCACACACTCCTCCGTGGCGTCGAAGGGGCTCTTGGTTTGGCAGACGACCTTCATGAACTTGGGTTTAGGGTTTGGGGTTTGGGGTTTAGGGTTTAGGGTTTAGGGTTCAGGGTTTAGGGTTTAGGGTTTAGGGTTTAGGGACGACCTTCATGAACTTGTTGTCCCGGATCCTGGTGTACTTGTCCACAAGCTCCTGGATCACGGGGTCGCACTCCACGTCCGAGTCCTGGCTTGAAAGTCACCAGGCCAAAGTGTTACTGAGATATTTGATTTCTGTTTAGGGTTTAGGGTTTAGGGTTTAGGGTTTAGGGTTTCGGGTTTTGGGTTTAGGGTTTAGGGTTTCGGGTTTAAGGATTAGGGTTGGCAGGGGAAAGGGGGGGGTCCACGTCATAGCGCTCCACTGCCAGCTTCACCACCGTCTCCGCGACGTGGAGAACCGTGTGTGTGAGCCATCGCCACTCCTTGCGCTTGTCTAGGGTTTAAGGTTTAGGGTTTAGGGCTCAGGGTTTAGGGTTTAGGGTTTAGGGTTCAGGGTTTAGGGTCTAGGGTGTAGGGTTTATAACATTCAAAGGTGCTTGTGTGCTTGGCAGCCCTGCCTCGCCCGACTTGATGACACGGTGCTTCTTGTCCTGACAAGGGGCGGCCCCCTCTCAGACGAAGGTGGGAGTTAGTTTCATGCGGGGTGTTTGCGTGGGTTTTCGGCCTTTCAAGGGCCGTACATCCACCCTGTAACTGAAAACGGGGCAGTTTTGGGTTCTGGGTTCGGCTTCGGGTTCTAGAGTCCTGCCAGTTGAAGCCTCGCACCGTAATAGGGTACTGGGCTTGCAGCTCACCGCCAAAACCGCCTGAAAATCACCAGTTCTGGGTTCAGGGTTTAGGGTTTGGGGCAGCTTGAGAAAGCCACACCCCTACAGAGCCCAAAAAAGCACAACTCTCTACACCTTGAGGGTGCAGAAACTCTGCTAAACCCTAAACCCTAAACCCCAAAACCCTAAACCCTAAACCCCAAAACCCTAAACCCTAAACCCCAAAACCCCAAAACCCTAAACCCTAAACCCTCAACTCGTCCGCACGCTTGTAGAAGTGATCATGGCCCCCGAGGAGCAGGTCGATCTCGGGAACAGCCTCGAGCAGCTCACACTTAGGACTTGGGATGTTCCCCCTGAAATAGTGCTTAGGGTTTGGGGTTTAGGGTTTAGGATTTAGGGTTTAGGGCTTGGGGTTTGGGGTTTGGGGTTAGGGTTTCGGGTTTAGGGTTTAGGGTTTAGGTTTTAGGCTTTAGGGTGGGATGCTAGAATCCCGATTTAGGACTGTTGGGAGCAGGTGAAACATCCCAAGCGCACACCATCACTCTCTGATCGCTTCTCTGATTAGAGCCTTTTGGTTGCAGCGTTGTTCGGAGTCCCCTTGATGATTGTCGCGAAGTCAATCAGCTCATAGGGAAAAAAACTAAACAAACAGCAGGGCTCTGTTTAAAAGCTCCTTCTAAAACTCCAGGAGCCCTTTAGGCCCAGGGCCTTGCAAGCACCCAGAATATCCCGGGAGGCCTCAGTGAGTTTCTTGTCGTTGTCGAAGCGGTTGTGCGTCAGGGCCACTACGACCTGCGCTTTTCCAACGGCGCTTTCTTCTGCAAGCAATGTGGCCGGATTCACTCGTTGCACACCGAGTCATGGCACGCCGAAAGCCTAAACCCAACACCCTAAACCCTAAACCCTAAACCCGATGAATGTGACGACTGTGCTTGTCCTACTCGAGGTCTCCCGATATCTGTTGGGATGTCCGGGCTCTAGTGCCCAAAAGCCCCTAAGAAGCGCCCAAAAACCCCCAAGAACTGTTCAACAGCCCCTAAGAAGTGCCCTGAGTCCTTTGTTTAGTGTTTAGGGTTTAGGGTTTAGGGTCTAGGGTTTAGGGTTTAGGGTTTAGGGTTTAGGGTTTAGGGTTTAGGGTTTGGGGTTTAGGGTTTAGGGTTTAGGGTCTTTTTGATGGTTCTGGGGGGTCTGGGATCGAAGCCTCGGCACCCTCCAGCTTCATCTTCCGGGCGTACTCGCGGCCCTTCTCGATGTAGTCCTGGCTTCAGGGCACCATGGCAATGGGACAGGGCTTAGGGTTTAAGGTTTAGGGTTTAGGGTTAAGGGTTGAGAGTTGAGGGTTGAGGGTTTGGGGCTGAGGATTTAGGGTTTAGGGTTTAGGCCTCAAGGCCTTTGAGCCTGAACCCTCCCTGTTGTGGGTCCTGGTACGTGATCTCCCCGTCCTTCAGCTGCGAGCACCCGGAAAGCCAGTCCTGCGTTGGGCGTCGGTAACCCTAAACCCCATACCCCTAAACCCTAAACCCTGAACCCTGAGCCCTAAGCCGCTAAACCCCTGAACCCTAAACCATTTCCATGGTTTGCGCTGAGGGCTCAGGTTGGTGGAAATTACCAACTTCGGGTTTAGGGTTTAGGGTTTAGGGTTTAGGGTTTAGGGTTTAGGGTTTAGGGTTTAGGGTTTAGGGTTTAGGGTTTAGGGTTTAGGGTAGGGTTTAGGGTTTAGGGTTTAGGGTTTAGGGTTTAGGGTTTAGGGTTTAGGGTTTAGGGTTTTAGGGTTTAGGGTTTAGGGTTTAGGGGGGGGGGGGGGGGGGGGGGGGGGGTGTAGGCTGAACCCGAAGAAGAGCCCGTTCTAGGGCGTCCAGGGTGTCTGGCCTTAAGGTTCAGGAAGGACGCCAGAAAATTTCCAAGCTTCCCCTAAACCGTACAAGCCTCAAACCCTAAATCCGAAGCCCTGAACGTACCGAGAGCCCCCCCAGGTGGGCCTCGGATAGGCCCATGAGGCCAACCTTGACGCCATTGACCTCCACCGGGTTTGAAAGAAGGTTCCGGGGCTAGGGGTTTATGGGGCTTCGGATGGTTGAGGGTTCTGGGTTTATAGGGCGAAGGGTGGAGGGTGGCTTGTAGGGCTTGGGGCGCTTGAAACTGGGTTGAGGGTTCGGGTTTAGGATGGTTTGGGGTTTATAAGGGCTTAGAGCGCTCGACCCAGCTCCACTGGCTTGAGGGTTGAGGAATGTTCCAGGCCCATGGACTTGCTGCTTGGTACATGAAGGTTTGACACCCAGCTCTCAACCAAGCCCTTGGATGAAACCCTGAAGGCTCTCCATGGAATTCGCAATGTGGGGCAAAGGAGTCGCAGCGACTTTACATGATACTGAAGCCTTCCGGAGGTTCGAATCTTCAGAGCGAGCAGGTTTGGCCTTTTGCACCACGGCACATTGGGCAGCGAGCGCTCTGGGGGGCCCCTTCTAAAGGGGGCTACTCCACAGGATCCTCCTCCCCGCCCGCTTCTTCCTCAGCTGCCTCCTCCAGCGACAGGCTCAAGCCCGGCCACGTCCGATCCCGCCAGGACTCAAAGGTCTCGCTGCCACCGTACTCCTTCAGCTGCCTCTTCTCGAGCCCGCGCGTCGCCTGCATCAGGACAAAGAGGATCCCGAGGTAGCCCAGGCCACTCACGAGGGTCGGAAGCCACAGGGCCTTCAAGGCCTTCACCGGAGCCGCGTGGTAGGCACAGAGGCCCGCGGCAAAGTTGGCCGTCCAAAGGAGCTGCTCACCTCCCAGGAGCTTGAGAATGATCATTCTCCAAGTCTTGAAGAATTAGGAGAGAAAAAAAACAGGCGTTTCATTTAACAAGAAAAAGCTTTGCGTTCAGTTCCTTAACAACAGCCGGTAAGACCATTCCCCCCCCCTGCCCCCTCTTCTTCCCTCCCCGTCGCCTGTGTAGTTGGGGTGCCTGAGGAGAGCGTAGGGGCCGTCGGTGACCAGGGCGTCAGAGCCACGCCGCGCCTTGGCCACGGACTTCCAGACGTCGCCCAAGGCTGCGACGAGGCAGCCGGAGCACATCAGCACCACCTCTGTGAAGAAAAAGGAGCAAAACGAAAAAACAAAAAACAAAACAGCAGACAAAGAGAGAGCTGCTTCTTCTGAACAAACCTCAACTACTGGAGACATCTTTCTGAGGAACTTAAACCTTAGAGGATTCTCCGAAGACAGTCCAGGCACGGCGATCTTGTAGATGAGGAGCTTCTCAAGCGTCGCAGACGCCGTGCAGGCCGCCGTGCTGGCCATGGCCACCGGAGCCGCCAGGCCGAGGTATAAGACCGCACAGGCAGACAGGAAAGGCAAACGACTCCAACGGCTTCCGCTCTCCCTCGATCGCTCCTCGATTCGGTCGCGAAACTCGCGGAATCGCGCAATGCACGTCTCGCGATAGAGGAGGAAGAGGGACAACCTTGCACCATAGAAGCACAGGCAGCCTGCGTGCAATACTACTGGCATTGGCAAACCTCGCGCCAGCAGCAGAGCCCCAGAGAGGGCGGTTGCTAGGCCGTAGCCGTACGACACACCATACTCAGCCTGCCAGAGGCCAAGGAAAGGTGGCAGGAAGTTGGCGAGAACGAGTTGACCTGTGAGGGCCGTGAGGGCATGGGCAGCACCTGCAGCACCTCGTGCAGAAGCAGCACCGTCCTGCGACGTCGCTCCTCCGCGCGGGTGGCGCGGGGCACGTGGGCTACGTGGGCTACCTGGGTGCCCGCGCACCAGCCCGCGCAGGGGCGCCACCGGGGACGGCCTGTCCCTGAATACCTGAAAGCATCGAGGCCAACACTCTGCCGCCACCAAGGCGGCAACGAGGGCCACTGCGCGGGTGCACGGCGAGCAACGGCAAGGCATGGGCTCGGCCGTCACTTCTGCTACGCTGTGTTAGGACTGCTTTGATTTTGCTTTCTGGGGTGCCAAGTTCTGGAGATTTCTGGAGCACGGAACTCCCAATGGAACTCTGCGAATTCATGCACAGCGCAGGCGACAGAGCCAAGCGTGGTCAGAGAGCACGCCTTCCCAGCTTCCCACCTCCCCATGTTCAAAGCTGCATGATCAGGCCCCCATCCCCAAGCCATCGAGTCTGCGCACAGCCTCCCGAGCTCGGCCCTCGAATCCCTACAGCACCTCTCAATTCTACACAGCCCTGAGAACCCCCCCCTAACAAGGGCTCAGCGGCCTCCACGATTTCGTAGCGCTTCGTCTCCGCGCCACCCACCGGATGACCAGTCTTCCCCTCACTCATGTTGGTCCTGAGTTTAGGGTTCAGGAGGCATACGCAGCAACCAAAAAAAAAAGCAACACTCCTAGCTGGCTTCTGACATATGTTTGTTCCGATGACCTCGTGACAGAAGATTCGAAAATTCTTTGCAGTGCCAGACTGCACGCAAACGATCCGAACCTTCCAAGCGTATCGCAAAGTTAGCACAATCACGGCCGCCACGGCCGCCACGGCCTACTCGAACCAACAATGCTTCCAAGCGGCATGAGCCACGTCGTTGTGGATTTGGGATAATCGACCTGGCCGGGCTCCACAGGGCAGAAGCCTGCTTTGAACCGGCCTGAAACATTCCAGACCCCAAGAGCACCCATTCCGGACCAGGAGCTTGTGACTCCTAAAGCGCGACTCACTCGGAAACAAATCCTTCCCCGAGCCCTGTCGCCAACACCCCCAAATTCCCGGAGCAGTGCAGCACGAAAAGGCTCAAACCTTCCCTCGGAAACAAATACTTCCGGACGCCCGCACCCCCGGAGCAGCGCAGCGCGAAAGGGGTCAAGCCTTCACTCGAAAGCAAGTGTGTCCGGACCCCGTCATCAACACCCCCAAACCCCCCAACGCAGCACGAAAGGGGTCAAACCTTTATTAGGTGACAAGTGTGTCCGGACCTGTCGCCAACACCCCCAAAACCCCCCAAATCAAACCTTCACTCGGAACCAAGTGCTTCCGGACCCCGTCGCCAACACCCCTAAACCCCTGGAGCAACGCAACACGAAAAAGGTCAAACCTTCACTCAGAAACAAGTGCGTCTAGACCGTCTCCCAGACCCCGGAGCAATGCAGCACGAAAGGGGTCAAACCTTCACTCAAAAACCGCTTACCCCAACCCCCCCCCCCCCCCCCCCCCACCGCCCCCCCCACCCGCCCCCACCTAACAGCACCTTCTCCGGTTTGGGTTGGCGCGCTACGGAAGCTCAGGCCGAGGCGGTCGCAAAGGCTAGAAGTAATTATGCTATCTGTGTTGCCAGCTATGCAACAACAGACATGTGATGAGATTCTTACGCTGTCTACACTCAGTCCACACACTTCCACGTTCCGCTCGCCTCCTCCTGGCCATCTCCCGCCTGTGCAAGAGAGGGGCCCCTGAACATGAAGGATCTCCAACGCGAAGCATCGCGAAGCCCTATCCCCAGACGTCTCACAGGGTGGCTAGTGATCAAAGCCCATGCTTCCGGGTCCAGCTCACGAGCAAAGCTGCACAGCTCGGAAGGCCCTCAATCCACCGCCGAACTTTCAAGCCATTCGCGCCTGCGCGTCGTCATCGTAGCCCTGGAGCCTGTTGACCAGCGACTGGTAGCCTCAGAGCGTGGAAGGTAAGATTCCCGCTCTGCGCCTTTTGGAATTCTTCCAAAGAATGCCCGCAAGGACCCCATAATCTGCCCCCTATGGCCGCCCCCCCTCCCCTCCGCATCCCCGGGCCCCCGGGAAACAATATCCTTGGATCGGAAAGAACATGCAAGATCCAGGTGGCCGTAGTCGAACTCGTGATTCCCGAACGTTGCGAAGTCGACGCCGACCGCGTTCATGGCATCGATGATGTGGGCGCCCTCTTGCAGGGTCCCAGGTTGAGGACTGTGAATTCGGGGATTTCCGGGCGGCTTTGGGGTGCAGAGTGCTCTTCTGCGGCGCCCCCCCACGCGCTTTCTTTTCGGGACCTTGCCTGCCAGCGCTGGCAGTTCCTGTGGCCCTTCTTGACCCAACTCTCAGCCCTCACCAACTCATCCGGAATCGAAAGGGGTACACATCAAGCCTGCAGCGGCCGACGCAACCCATCCCTCCAGCACAAGAGCCCAGATGAACCCCAACCCTACATCCCCTAAATTCCCCCCCAAGTCCTCCGAAACCCGACATGGGCCTTACAACGTCTTGCAACATTCAACATCTTGGCCTTGGAGAAGGAGGAGGTCAAAGAGGGCCCAACAAAGTCGCCGGACATGCAGACCAGCACCTCTCTGCAAAAAAGAAGCGCCCCGTTCTCCGTAGGGCAGCCGTGAAGGTTAAGATCTGCACGGCTGTGGCCATTCGCTCCCCATCATGTCTGCAAGCCGACCCTAGGTCTGCTCCCCCCCCCCTGCACCCCGTTTCCCCTTTTGTACCCTTTTTGCCCCCGAAACCCTAGACCCTACACCCTACACCCTAAACCCTAAACCCTAGACCCTAACCCTAAACCCTAAACCCTACAAATTGCTTCTCCATGCGTCTCGATATCTTCCCCCCCTTTTCTTGCGGCCTCGCCTTCTTGGGCGCCAGCTCGGCCTTCAGCTCCCGGAGGATGGTCATGAAGCGGGCGGCGCCCCCAACGGGCTCCTCCTGCATGGGTGAGGATTTTAGAGGGTTTGTAGGGTTTGTAGGGTTTAAAGGGTTTATAGGGTTTGGGGTTTATAGGGTTTATAGGGTTTATAAGGTTTATAGGGTTTACAGGGTTTATAGGGTTTAGAGGGTTTACAGGGTTTTTGAGGGTTGTAGGGTTGTAGGGTTGTAGGGTTGTAGGGTTGTAGGGTTGTAGGGTGTTAGGGTCTAGGATTCTCGGCTTAGGTTTAGGGTGTAAGGGCGTTTTTGTTGTTGCTTTTTGTTGTGTTTCAACCCTTCGGTTCCTTGAGGGTTTGGGGATGTGTGGAACTGACTTCGAGCTCGAAAGCATTCCCAAGCCCTCTCACACGTTTGTTGGAGGGCCAGTCCGAACAAGATCGTGATCAAGCGAAGCATCCCAGGTGGCTCTGTAAGCGCCTGTGTCACTGCACCTTGCTCGGGTCAAAGTCCTACTGGCACACTCCAGCTCAACTACATCGACTCCCCTCCCTCAGAGCCTCTCTCAAGAGTCCTTGTGTTGGAACAAGAATCCCTATATTACCCTTAGTAAGGAACAATATTTTTCTGGGGGGGGTTCTTAAGCAATTAGTAGAGAAGAGTCCTTGTGTTGGGGCTGGAGGTTGTAGACATCGTTGAAATGCACCAAGTGCACCTCCCGGATGGGCGGAGCCTTCGGCCGCTGCTCCACAAACACCTCGGCCTCGCACGTCGAAGCAACCGAAGGGTTTAGGGTTTAGGGTTTAGGGTTTAGGGTTTAGGGTTTAGGGTTTAGGGTTTAGGGTTTAGGGTTTAGGGTTTAGGGTTTAGGGTTTAGGGGACCAACCTTGACTCGTTTGGAATGAAAGGAAGGCGCAACAAGTCTGGCACGACTGAAAGTCCCTGTCTCATGCACCTACAGGCGCTCTCCCACCTCATGAACCCACGTCCCCCTAAACCCTAAACCCTAAACCCTAAACCCTAAACCCTAAACCCTAAACCCTAAACCCTAAACCCTAAACCCTAAACCCTAAACCCTAGACAAGAGAACAGCAGGTTCCGACTCCCCGCACCTGGTCGGCCTTGGGCTCGGTGCAGCAGAACATGGCAGCGGAAGCTCTGGAGCCACCCCCACCCCCCGAGAGTTCAAGAGAAAGACATGCGAAGCACAAAAACCCTAGTAATTCTTCAAGGCTGGGAGTCCTTCTCTCCAGTGCAATGAACCAACACATGCACAAAAACTTGAACCCTGCGCCTACAAAGCTATATGATGGGCCGAGCCAAAGCAACAAAAGGCTGTTGACGTGGAGTTCGGGGGGAGTTCGAGATCGCTTTCAAGTGCCTTGAAGGTCGCCAAAGTTTGCAAAAGAGTAGCGCATTTGCTCTTTTCTCCCGCGCACGCGAGCAGCGGAGCCACGTCCCAGCTCAGAGTTCCGCCTACACGCTTCTCTGAGGAGGTACTCGAGCGCTTCAGAACAGGGAGGCATGCTCGCGGAGTTTGAGATGCTTGACAGGCCTGAGCGAGATTGGAAGCTCAAGCCAGCTTGTGGCGAACATCCCAAACAAGCTCCGAACCCAGGAATCCCGGGGCGGAAGCGAGGCTCTCAGATTCAGGCTGGTGGTGCTTGGTGATGCAGGGCGGCATCGGAAGATGTTAAAAGCCCTGAGCCCCTCCTAGACCCTGTGCGACCTCAGGGCCCCTATACCTCCCGCACACGTAGACAATCTCAGAAGGGCCTTAGATCCTGGAACCGGCCCTTCCTTCCCTTGTGCCCGCTGTAACTTGAGCCCTCAGGCTTTCATGCCATGTTGCACAGTACTTTGCCCTTGTACCCGCTTGAACCGTACTTCTACACCGCGTTCAGAAACCGCGTTCGCATCGCACTCCTACCGCAAGGATTCCGAGCTCGGCAGGCTTCGGGAGAGAAATCTCAGCTGCGCCTTTGGAGAACGGGGCGGCGCGCGGGAGGAGCGCGTGGGGTGGGAAAGGGCTCCGTCAGGGGCTCGTCGCCCGGCATCAGACTCCGTGAGGTGCGCAGAGCCGAAAACTCTGTGCCCTCTGTCTCAGAAAGGGTGACCGTACCTCGACATTGAGGACATTCCTAGACCCCCCGTTTTCAAGCCTTCGGAACTGAGCTCATGTCGAAGCTCCCGTCCTCAAACCTCCCCCTCAACATCCCTCAACCGCCAGCAAATGCCAAGTCTCAGAGCTGTCGCAGCTGTGGTCCCAGTACGCTTCGATTCCATGCAGCCAGCGAGTCGCCCATGAGGAGTGGGGAATCGAATCGGGCAGGGAGGGCTTCCAGGGCCTCATGATCCCTGGCAAAGCCAGCAGCCCTTAAAGCCGCAAAGGGCATCCGAAGGCTCTGCGCCTCGAGGAGCCTCCCAGCTCACGAGACCTCACGAGTCTGGTCCCAAGTCGCCCAAGTGGTCTGACACAGTTGCCTTTGCATCTGAAACTGACAAGGACACACCTCGCATGTCTGAGAACTCCGTGGCAAAGCGCAGCGGCAACAGGAATCAGCGATCACAGCGGTCCGTGTGAGCTCTTCTTGTGCTCCTTCTTCTCTGTCGCGCCACATGCTGCTCGGCTACTCCTGCGGAGACACTCTGCCAGGCCGCACGGGCCACGGCGACAGCGCGGAGTCGCCTCTTGATCCTGAGCCTGAGATGCCTCAGTGGCCCGAACTTTGCGAACTTTGCGGGAAGCATGGCCTCCGGCTCGAAACACAAGCAATGACGCGGGTGACAGGGCCCAAAAACACGGCGGCCATTAGCAAGAAGGCGCCTCCCGGTTGAGCCGTTCTGAGCCTATCTGCCTCCAAAGGATGGACGTGCCCCCAACTCTCTCTGCGGCACCTCGGCCCACAAACAGAGAGTGCTTGCAACGTCTTGTGAGAAATCGTTGCTTTCCAGCGCTTGCGGTGCATGTGGCGGCAAAGACGGAGGCGTCCCAACGCAGGGTCACAGCGAAGCTGTGCGCGCGCCCTTGTGCGAGATGCCAGCAGAGAGCCCTGGCGGCTGGAGCTGGGACTCCCAAAAGCCCTCAAAGCGATCTCAAGATTCTCACACAGGGTGAGATGCATTCTCCGCACGCACAAGGCCGAGACTTCCAAGACTGCAACGGTTTTGACCTACAACGTCAGATTTTAAGCTTTGCGGCCTTTTGCAGAAGTGAGTAAACGCTCACAAAACGCCCACTTTCTCAGATGTACCACACCGGGAGCGCTGCATTGAGGGCACCGCCTTCGCTTCAACCCCACACCCGGCACGTTGCTCCCAGCGCCTCGGGGATATTCCCGGCGTGCTTTGCAACTTTCTGCACATTGCGACACACGCCGTGGAAGAATCCACGAGACACATGCCACTTGCCTTTGGCTCTCAAGGTTTCAGGCAGGGTTCAGGCAGGGTTCAGGCAGGGTTCAGGCAGGGTTCACTGGGTTCCGCTTTAGTTAGCTACGCTCATTGCCGCCGTGGCGCTGAGCCTCTTCTGAGACCGTAGTGGTGGCGTTGGCGTTTCAACCGAAGCCACGTCATGTCGTTAGAGAACTCGGACTCGGACATCGAGGTTCCAAGGGCTCCTTCGACATGGTAGGCCTTGGAGTTCGGGGGCCAAATCGCCGTGAGTTGAGGTAAAGCCCGGGAAAAGGAAGGCTCCCTAACTGCTTGCTCCCCACAAGAACCCTAAGCTCCCTCGAAGCGGCCCGCTTCCTTGCCACTTTCTTCCTGCTGGCTCTCAGGTTCTGTCTAGCCCTGATTCCTGCCAAGGATGAACTACACATGGACGATGTTGCTTCTGAACACGTCCAAAGAAGAAAACAACAAACAACCGCCGGATGCCACCCCTTACACAGACACGCCAGATGCTCTCAGTGGCGCAGCTGGTGCGAGAGGCGAAGCTGACCTTGGGGAGCCTGTGGGCTCAGGATGTGAGCCTAAGCCGGTGCCCTTAGTTCAGCGACCCATGTGTGCGAGAGGGCGTGCACTGCGAGAACGTCGGTCACGCCAGACACTCCACCAAGCAGCTACGTTACGCAGGCATGCATCTTCTTCCGGGTCGCAGGAACCATGCGGGCCGGTCCAGTGCCGTCAGTGCCGGGAGGGCATGGCTCCTCTCACAGGAGCCTGTGCGATGCCCGAATCCGGAGCTTGTCATGCCCAGGTGCCCTCTTTGCACCTTCTCTTCCCTCATGCCTCCATCCCGAGTTGCAGGACCAAGCTGCATCACCAAGAGGTGCGGAAACAGGGGTTGCGAAGTGTGGCGGGGGGCAAGGGCAAACACGTGCAAGTCAAGAGCCACCATTTGAGGAATTTCGGCTGCTGCTTAAAGTGCCAGGCCGTCACCCTGGCGTACCGTGATATTACAATCGTTCAATGTTGCTGCCATTTGTGAAAGATAACAATCAGCGCACCCTAACGGAAGGTGCTCATCGTGATGTTCGCGCCAGCTTGGATGCCGACAGCGCGCAGAGCGGCGGCTGAGGAATGGAGGGTTCGTTTCGGCGGATGCGGACCCAAGCGGAGGCGACGGCTACCACACACTTCCCATCTTCGGGTAGGCCACAGAAAAGAGTTGAAGAACTGCCTGGGTGCTGGGCCGAGGCCGTCTACATCACATGCATGCTAGTAAGCTGCGCTTGCCGGAATGCTCAGCGTTCCCTGAAAGTGCCGACTTGTAGCGGGTTCGAGGGATTCAACGGGGCTGTGAAGGAGTTTTGGATGCCACTTCAAGGCACCACGCATTTGGGGGGGGGGGGGACTCCAGTGCACAGTGCACTCGGACACGAGACGAAGTTCCCAGTTGCTCACGGAAGTCAAGGCGCCCTCACCCTCTACCAGGCACACCCGAAACCGACCGGAACACCCGACTCCAAGCTAAATTCCACATGGCAGGTAGTCCCTAAGTCCCTGTGACCACACTTCTTCAGGGAGCCCTTTGACAACATGAAGGGCACGGAAGCCGACAGCGGCGACATCAACGGCAACATCAGCGGCGACATCGCCCGTGCACCAAAAATGAACCTCGCCTGGGTTTCCGGAGGCTGCAGAGGCTGAAGCTTCCGAAGACGAGGAGCTGCGGTGGAAGTGACCCACCACACATCCGCATGTGCAGGAGCATCATTTGGGGCGTTTTGGGGCTGGGCCTCAAGGGGCCATCAGGGCTCCGGCACTCTGGCAGACTGCGGATGGACAAGGTCAATCTGGCAAAATTCCGCGGCAAGCTTTGACTCCCCCAAAGCCACCTGCCACCATGGCCGCCCGAGCCTTGAGACCCTGTGACATGAACCCTAGGGTTTAGGGTTTAGGGTTTAGGGTTTAGGGTTCAGGGCCTTTCGGGTTTAGGGTTTACAGGGTTTAGGGACCCTTTAACCCTGAGCTTCTGATATCCACGGAGACGTATTAGCTGGCGCCGCTGGAAGGCGGACGTGTCCGTTACACAAAGTTGAACCCGAATCAACGCGGTGCTTACGGTTCCTACAGCTTTGAAGATGCCTCTAGGATGCCTCTTAGGGTTTAGGGCGTAAGGCTTATAGGGTTGCTTTGGAAGTTAGAAGGCTAGGCTTACGCCAGAAGGTTCAGCGACAAAAGCCCCCCCCCCTCTCAGACGCAAAAAGGCCGCATGGGTTCCTGCTTCTCAGAGACTGACGTCCTGGCCTATGGACCTGCCCACTGGAAGGATAAGAGCTCCCCTCAATCCTTGGATGTTGAAGACTTCGCAGACTTGAGGGCTAAGACGCTAAGGGGCTAACTCGAAGAGGGTCGAAAACGAGCAGGCCAACCAACCTTGCTATCCAGGGGCCACAGACTTTTGCCTGCGCTCGAAAGGCCCTCGGTGATCCTCGTGCCTTGCGGAAGCCCATCACGTCGAGGGCAGCGAGGAGCATGAGGTCGGTGCGCAGCAAGAGGTTCGCGTAAATCAGGGAGTACAGTGAGGAGAGCTGCTGAGAGTCTCTGACTCTGGGCTCCGGGAGCCAGGCGCTCGCGAGAAGATGGCCCCCACACCGAAGAGGGGCCTTGTGGGTAACTTTCAGAGGCACCCTTAGCGGCGAAGCCTGCGAAGCAGCACGAGACGCCCTGCTACGGGATGGAAGAAAGGGAGGATCGG